TCCATGAGAAAAATTCTAAGTTATGAAACTTGAGGATTTTTTGAAGACCATTTAGTCGCCTAATTACCGAGCTCGAATGGCCAGTGAGAAGAATTCTAAGTTACAAGCTTAATTGTTTTCGAAAACCGTTGTTCAGTGCCCCAAGTCCCGAGAGCACACGACAAATAGGAAAATTCTAAGTTAAAAATGGGGATTTTTGAACCAAAGATAATCATTTAATCTCCGATTGCAATGACCAATGACCCCAAAATATAGTGTAACATTTGAGGTTTTCAAACAGAAAGTGATCGCCACAATTCCGGGTGATGCAATGAAAATCTTCCAAGTTTTAAAACGTATTTTTCCCAAATACAATTGGCCATATGCCGATTTTTAAACAAAAGTTTTCTAAGTTTAAAAACTAAGTTTTCCATAGACAATCGGTCAAACACCGAGTTCCGTACTCAAAATTCTATTAGTTTTCCAAGTAAACTCGGCCAAATGCCGAGTCCCGTACTTACAGTCGCTCGAATCCCGATTCCGTTTTGGTGAGAAAATTCATCTTTGATTGCTAGGACTCCGACTCAAGGACGTAAATGCACTATTCCAAGTTAAAATCAATAACGTAGGAGGCGCCCAATTTCCGATTCATTTTGGTAATAAAAATTCACCTTTGATCATCCAAATTCCGACTTAAACAAGATAAGGGAAAAAATCCAAGCTTAAAATCAATTAAATGAAGTCGTCCAAAATCCGACTGAAATAAGCAACAAGTTTCATATTTAGTCGCCAAAATACCGACTTGAACGAGGTAAAGAAAATCATCTAAGTTTAAAAATCAATCATATGAGAGGGTCGTCCGATATCTGACTGTGTATGAGTAACCAAGTTCATATTTTGTCGTCAATATACCGATTGAAAGGGTTGAATGGGGACAAGCCGACCCTCCAGATTTATACCCGCCCAGTCGGCATTTTACCGATCAATCACGAGTTTGGTCTGTCTTCGAGTTATTTATACTCGCCCAGTCGGATTTTTACCGATCTATCACGAGTTTGGTCTTCGAGTTATTTATACTCGCCCAGTCGGACTTTTGCCGACAATCACGAGTTTGGTCTTCGAGTTATTTATACTCGCCCAGTCAGATTTTTACCGATCAATCACGAGTTTGGTCTGTCTTCGAGTTATTTATACTCTACCAGTCGAATTTTTACCGATCGATCACGAGTTTGGTCTTCGAGTTATTTATACTCGCCCAGTCGGACTTTTGCCGACAATCACGAGTTTGGTCTTCGAGTTATTTATACTTGCCCAGTCGGATTTTTACCAATCAATCACTAGTTTGGTCTGTCTTCGAGTTATTTATACTCGCCCAGTCGGATTTTTACCGATCGATCACGAGTTTGGTCTTCGAATTATTTATCTCGCCCAGTCAGAATTTTACCTATCAATCACAAGTTTGGTCTGTCTTCGAGTTATTTATACTCGCCCAGTCAAATTTTTACCGATCAATCACGAGTTTGGTCTTCGAGTTATTTATACTCGCTTAGTCGGATTTTTACCGATCAATCACGGGTTTGGTCTTCGAGTTATTTATACTCGCCCAGTCGGAATTTTGCCGACAATCACGAGTTTGTCTTCGAGTTATTTATACTCGCCTAGTCGGACTTTTGCCAACAATCACGAGTTTGGTCTTCGAGTTATTTATACTCGCCCAGTCGGACTTTTGCCGACAATCACGAGTTTGGTGCCTTTAAATAACACACCTGTCGATCATGGAAAGATAAAAGAGATGGTATTTAATAAAGTTGGAATTATTGGTTAGTGGTGCCTCGTTAAAAACCTTCTCGGCAAAAAACCTTTTCACGTTTTTATATGGAATAAAAATCTCTTGGGACGACCCCAGCTTCTCGGCTTTCAGCTGCCCTTTTGTTGATTTGTCCCTCCTCCATCTTGATGTGACTCAGGGCAAAAGCTCTCACCTCCGACATCGTTTGACAATTCGCTTTCTCCAGCGCGATGTTGGAAGCTCCAGACCTTAAGCCCTTCTGGAACGCGATGACTGCCATCCTTTCCTCCAAGGACGCTATCCTCAAGGCGACCTCATTGAACCTTTGCAGAACTGTGTCATGAAGAGCCGACTAAAGACATCAAAGTCGATGATTAATCGGTCAGGGAGACCACTAAACCAATCCAGTGCTGCTTTTTTGAGTGTACCCATGAATAGTTTGCAGCGAACTTCCATACTTCCTCCACAAATCAACATTTGAGCGCGAAAATTCGTCAAGTGCTGACTGGGATCCTGAGTTCCATCAAAAGGTTCGACTTGGGGAATCCGATGATCCCTCGGGATGGTCTCGGCCTCTATGGCCTCCGAAAAAGGTCGAAAATCCCTGGGGACTTCCATCATGACATCTTCCTCCACCGTCCTGGCGTTGGCCGTTATCATAGCTTGCATCTCGTCCGCCCGCCTCCTAATCTCCTCGTTTTCTCGTTGAATAGCCTCCTCTCTCTCCCTAGATCGCGCATTCTCCTCCCTCAAACCGTTGATCAATGCCATCATCTCCTCCATGGTAGGGTGTTGTGAGTCGCTATTGGATGTGCCGCCTCTCGCCATGGTAAAGTGCGGGTTCTCCTGTGTTACTTGGGGCGTAGGAAAAGTTTCACCGTAGCCCCACAGTGGGCGCCAAAATGTTCTGGCCAAAGGGTGGACTAGGGTTTTTTCCTAGATCGTGCCTTAGAGCCAGAGCATTCAAAAGTGTAAACTGCCCCCTCAACTCTAGGGTTTTTGGGTTTTATAGTTTCTTGTTCACGGGCCTTAAGGGCCCCGAGAATGTAGGGATCTCTTTAGCCGTTCCAATCTGGAAATACTTGGTGAGTGAAGGTGGGACCTCTCCATTGCCGAGTGTCCAATCGGATAATGACCGAGTAGGCCTTTATGGGTGAGTGAGATCAGTATCTGGTTGACGTGGCCCAAATTGGTTATATGCCGATTGACTCTAAGAGGGTGAGTCGGCCAAGGTTACAATCGGGTGATCAAATGAGGGGAGATCAGGTCGTGAATCGGCCTGGGCAATGCACGGGTTTATAGTCGACCTCACATGCATAGTAGCCCTTATAGTCCGCGATACCAATCGGCCTACGACCGAGTTGGCGATACCAACCGGCCTACGGCCGAGTCGGCAATACCAATCAACCTACGACCGAGTCGGCGATATCAATCGGCATACAGCCGAGACGGTCCAATAATAATTCAAAGATGAGTCTTGTTTAATGATACAAATGCAAAGAAGAATCACTAGGTTTACCTGGTGATAGAAAATTAAAATAATACGCATTTTAAGTTCGAATTTTAGTGTTTTATTATATTTTTAATAGATAAAAAAGTTATAAAATTATTGTGTAATTATTTTTTATTAAAGGTTGTGATTTAACATAAATTAACAATTTAATTTGTAATAGTTTATAGAGTAGTATAATTAAACATATACATAAGTTTTAATATAAATTAATATACGTTTGTTCAGTGAATTAATATTTTCCATCATATATTACATTTTTTTTTTGTGAATGGAGATGAAAACAGTACATGAGTAATATTTTCGACCATATATTACATATGTATAAGATCCGATATAGTATATATTGTATATATTTTCAAATTAATATTTTATTTTTAATATTTTTACTGGAAATACTATAAAAATATTTTGTTTATACTTTTCAAATTAATATTATAGATTGTTTTGTATTAACAGTTCGTGTACCTACTTGAGGGTACTTTAGTAGTTTCTCCTTCCTAAATCTGATTTCACTTCTAAGACAATGTCAACGATTACTAAGCTATCAAGTTCTCTAATGAGTGAGATTCTTATAATTGTTGACACTCAAGTAAAGTATCGGCTTAGCAAAATAAATGCGAATCAATAGTAATTTTTACCCCATCTAATATCACTGTAATAGATTTGGATCTTATTAATGGGCCTGATTTCTTGGGCCACATGCTAAAATGTGCTTATCTTGAGATGTAGATATTAGCTAGTCTTGCATATGCGTCTCAGCCCTCTCAACCTTAATTATTATGCATATGAATATATTTTTGGTATTTTGAAACCTATTCGGTAATCTGAACCTCATCTGATATAGTTTGGATTTGGGAGATATCAAATGACTCTCTATAACTTTTACGGATTATTATATTATTAATAACTTTATATAAAAATGTAAATTTTGTTGTTAAATTATATATAACTTTATGGTATTATTTTGAAAAAGAAAGATAAAGTTACTCTAATAGTTATAATGAATACTCTAGATTTACTTGATCTTTTATATATATTCTTTGATTTAATTAAGAGAATTAAAAAAGAAACAGAAAAAAAGTTTAAAAAAAAAAACATTTCAATCTATTATTAAATTAAAAATTTAATCGATTAAATTTCGATTTTAATCTGTTTTCAATGAGTTTTGGCATGTGAAAGCGAATGGGGAGGTGTAACACTGATTTCCTCCCACATTTCTATTTTCTCTGATATACATTATTTCACACTAATAATCAAACATTAATCTACAGTTACAAAATATAATTTTCGATGAAAATTAATTTTGAGAGTCGAAAGTCGACCCAAATAATCTACAAGGTAATATTATTTTAGTGGGGATGAAACCACCAATTACTTTATATGTCTCTCATTGCTATAATACCAAACAAACATAATTTTATTCATCAACCATATTTTCACTCTTTCTACTAAATTTTCAAAAAGTTTCCATGCAACCCGTGTAAAATTGGATGTATAATTGTATAAGCTGAAGGAAAAGACTCAGATGAAAAAGATAAATAAATAAATGTTATAAATAATATGATAAAAAAAAATAGAGTGAGAAGGATTGTAACAAAAGTAAAACGTAGGATTATATTATAACTCATTTTAGAATTAATACACACTTGCTGGATCATCCATGTATCCGACTTTTTGTAATGAATCATAAATCAAGAGTGGAGGACGACTCAAATAACGAGAACCCCTTGTTTACAGTCGGGGCAATTAGTTATGTAATGTTATTATTTATTTTAGGAGAAAGAGAGCACATACGCGCCCATGAACTGGATCTTTATTTGGTGATACATATATAAAAGTATACAATAACAACACAAATAGGAATGAGGAAATTAAGAATAAAATAAAAGTGAGTAGAGAGACATAAATGAGAAGAATTAAGGGCAAAATACAACCCTATAATCGGATCCTCCCATGCACGTGAAAGTGCTGGTTGCATCATCCATAGGGTAACTGTAGGCATCTGGGCACTTTTCCTTGAAAAACCTTGAATAATCAGTGGGACCGCATCCAGCAACACCGGAGGTACAACAATACTGAGTCGTATTGAAAACCGTGCACGGGTTGTTGCAACCGCCGGGAACCTGCAGCTGAGTCGGACACTCTCCCAGGATGTCGGCGGCGCATTTGACGGAGCTACAGTTATAGGTGGGGCTCAGCTGCACGGGAATGTTGAAACCGTCCACGAGGGAGATGTCGTAGAAGTCGAGGTTGTTGTACTGGTTCAACGCGAATTCCACCAGCGTGTTCGGGGGTGTACCCGTTTTGTTGCACACGAGCACACCGTCGCAGTCACCGGTTAGACACTTGCCGTGTCCCGTGCTGTTGAAGGTGCAGTTTGTTCGGCCCCAAATGCGTCCTCCCGTCGTGCCGTTCGCCACGCTGAGGCTCCATGATTCGTTAGGGTTCAGCCTTACGCCGCCGCCGGGCAAGGCGGCTGCCCACACCGTGTAGTTGCATCTGTTTGTGATGTTGAAGTTCGCCGCCTGCCCGCCGGCGACGCAGGTTACGGCGATGAGGAGGAAGATGGAGAGGCTTTTCGTGGCGGCCATTGTGAATTCGTTTGTTTCAAGAGGTTGGGTTTATGTGTTATTTTTATAGGGTGGGTTCGGTAGTAAAATGGTTCTTTTTTGAAAAATTCATCTGGTGATGTCATATACATTGTTGACTCGGAGACTAGTCGTGCAATTTGAAATCAAAATAACTAAATTTGTAGAAAAATGTAGATGCTTAGCAAAATAAGTCACGTTAATACATTCAAACGTGGTTTGAGCCGTGATTGTGGAAACCTGGTAATTTAACCATGTTGATTAATCTACAAATGCAAATAAACCCAGAGACCATTCTTTTTTTTTAACATATACATTTACATGACAGAATCCTATTCGAACTGGATTTTCAGTTACAGTATTCGAAAATACTGGTTAAGCTTAAACAACTCTAGTTTTTTTTAATTTTTTTTACATACTTTTTGTTGTTGTTTAATCTTCTGATAAGTTAGTCAATCCTTTAAACACGAGGACAATAAACAACCGACTAATTGAATGTTGGCAAATAGAAATATGCAAATGGGAAATAACTAGCTAGGATGGAACAATCATGGCAATAACTAATTTCAACACGTAAGAACTAAGAAGTAACCTATCTACGTACGACGTAGTTAACATAAACATAATAATAAAATAAAGAGACTGAAAATAAGAATAAAAATTAAGAGTCTACAAAAAACGCGTATATCAATCACACAAGAAAGTTTGATTTCATAGCCCTTTACTAACATCTGTAAAATGGCTATCACAACGTAATTGACGCAGTATCATTAACTAAATCTTTTTAATTCTTTGTATACAGATTCAGAAGGAGTAATATTTATCTTGAAAGCATAATATTTTCAGTTCCATCTTTTATGAAATTAATTTTATCATACATATTAATCTAATAATCTGAGCTATAGCTATATATACCGTCGAATATAATCTCGATTATTAGTTTAATTGTTGAAACAGGAAGAAAAAAAAATTGGGGTCAAATGAAGCCCTCTCAATTCGTGTTTGAAGTCTCATTTTGCTTCCTGTAGATATGGTATTTATTATCATATAATTTTTATTGTAAATGAACTAGTTGGGATGGACGCGGTAAAAAGAACTATGAAAGTCAAAAATGAGGTTTGAATTTTTTATAGAGCTGAAGGTTGAAAAGAGGATGGTGAATAGAGGTAGAGTATAAATAAAAGTCAAATTGCAAAACATGGCCGAAAGTATTGAAAAATGAAAATACGTTTCTTTCATCCTGATCTTCTTCTAGAGTTGGTGAATCTTGAAGTTTCATGACATATTTACTTGCGTGCAAACGAGAGATTAGAAAAGTCCAAGTCCAACCCCCCTAAAAGCAGGCGGAACGAACAAGTTTGGGTTTCACGGATTGAAGGCCCATAATAAGAAACACGGGCTATTTTTAGTTGCAGCGATCTGTAGCAGGTCCAGGCCCAGAAAATCATTTTCATAATCATAACAAGAAAATTACAGTGCAAGCAAACCGTCAACCTTTTAATAAATAAAAAATAGCCGTCTCTTCTCTCCATTTGTTTAGCTTCCAACACAAGCTGCTTCTGCTGCACACTAAAGAGGCCGTTAAAACCGCCCAAACCACTTATTACTCTACTCGTTTCCAATTCCACACTAGACACTACTCTACTCACTTTCTCAACCATTTTCTTTCACACTCCTACTTTCAAGTACGTTCCAACTTCCAACTGATATTTCATTTTGTTTTCCTAATTTCATTTCCATAACATAAATGATTAATGTTTGCCAAGTTAGTTTGAATCCATTATCATTGTGTTGCTAAATTATTATTATCCCTCATCATTGTTCAATGTTCATATACGTGTTATTTTGTGTTGTAGGATTTGATTTTTATAAAAAAAAGGAATCATGTTGGAGATTAAAAAGGAGCTCATGGATTTCAATTTTGATTCACCTCATCCAGATGGACTCCATTTGTGTCGTCTTTCTTCGCTCAATTATCGCAATAGCAATACCTTTCTTCTGGAATCAACCCCTAGTGCAAGGTAACCTACTCTGTCTAAATAATAATTTTCAACTCGGCTTATGCCATTACTAGTGAAACAGAATTCATGATCATGGAATATCAATTCCCACTAATTCATGAAATAGCCTGTGCCTCGCAAATTTTATTCTATTGCATTACTAATTTTTCACAAATTAATAGCAGAAAAAAAGCACAATCTAGACGTTGGACAGCGGAAGAGGTTTGTCGTTTGAGTTTAACCCTCTCTTTTTTCCTGTTAATGGAATTTGTAATTTTCCCTCTTACACATTTTTTAGTTATCTTTTCTCAGTATTCTTTTTTTAGCTTACAATTTGCCAATGTTAACGCTCCCTAACTTGGAAACAGGACAACCTTTTGATTGATACGGTCAAGAAGCACAACGGAAGGAACTGGAAGAAAATAGGTGGACGTGGCAGTATCTGTATCAGTTTGAACTATGATTCGATATTTAATTTGTTCATCAACAATTTGCTAGTGTTTAACTCTGAATTGAATTTAGCTTAAAAGGCTAGAACAACATATTGAGAACTTTTAATTGTCATATATGCTTTGTGGTTCATTGCTCACTCAAGCTAATCTGGTTGCAAAACTGGTCCTCTGCAGCTGCATACCTCCCTGGGCGAACTGACGTCCAATGCTTGCATCGCTGGCAAAAGGTTTTAAATCCTAATCTTGTAAAGGGTTCATGGACAAAGGAGGTGTTTTTCTAGTATATTTGTCTCAATTTGTTAATGTTCTAATTTGCATTCATTGACATATGTTGATTCTGGTTCCGGTCTGCTTCTCCACTAAACTTTTTAGGAAGATGATTGCCTCATTGAACTAGTCAAAAAGTATGGTATCAAGAGGTGGTCCGTTATTTCCAAATACTTACCAGGTCGGATTGGAAAGGGATGCCGAGAGAGGTATGTAACAATAGACCTTACTAAGTGTCCTTACATTTGTAGCATAGGGTGGCCATTTTTGTGTATACTGTGAGTGTCTTGTTGGCTTATTTGATGGATTACTACTTCTGTGACCCAATGTCAACTTTGGTGTATAATTTTACTCGTCACGAACCATTTTCTGTAGACTTTGCTGTTAGATTTTTTTGCTTGTCTCTAACTCTGCATATGTTACTGGCTCATCAAGAAGATAATTGAATTTTGAATCAAATTGATCATCTTCATAGGTTAGATAACCTCAGGTCTTATATTCGGAAGATCAGTTTTTGTATGTTTCCTATAATATACGTTAAAGAACTGGTACTTAATTAGTGATCATTTTAGGTGGAACAATCATCTTGATCCGGCTATAAAGAAGGATGCATGGACAGAGGAGGAGGAACAAATACTTGCTTACTGTCACCAAATATATGGCACTAAGTGGTCAGAAATTGCAAGGCTTCTTCCCGGAAGGTACTTTACCTGAATGTATTATCCAGGCTTCAAAACATAAGTAAATATTTAAGGATACTATATATTTTCAATCATGTTGATATGATTAAATTTAGTTATAGTTCTTAATTTTTTGTATTAGTTTTAGTTCTCATGATTAAAAATGACTCCTACTATCACTTTTTAATAATATAATACATTTAAACATGTCATACCATATGCAATATTAGAATAGCCTCTATCATGTCATGACTAAATATGTCTTGTTACTATAAAATAATGACAAAGATCAATTTTAAAATTTTAAGATAAAAAATAACAAGTTCTTTAATTAGAGGACTAAATCAAATTTAATCATATTTGATTTTATTTTTGTTTTTAATTTTAAAAACTAATTTTTAAACAATTTTTAAAAACTAACTAGTCTCTCACTTTACTTCCTGAGACTCAAATGTTGATTCAAAATCCGACATTACAAAATGATGTTCACTTCAAATATTTTGGCTACATTTCCTACTGCAATAAGGACTAAAGTGTCGACTTTATAAAAATCTTCACTTTCGTATTTTTCCACAATAGTAAGGACTGAAGTAAACGATGTTTACAAAGTTAAAGACTATGGGAAGAATTTTGTGAAGATAAATACTAAAGTAATCTACAGGCTACACTTAACTTAAGGATTAAAATAGAAGTTTTGGAGTTTATTCAATATTTATGCAACTGCTCATTTGTGTCGTACTTGTCTATGTCACCTCGCTTCCCCTTTAAAAAAATGTACATGCATTTCCGAAGTGCTACAAGCCTTTCTGTCATCTTATGACCATGATAATTATTCTTATATTTTTGGGTAAGCCAGGACTGACAATGCTATAAAAAATCATTGGAACTGCTCAATGAAGAAGAAATTGGATGCATCACCATTTGGGTGTGACATAAATGCTACCACTTCCAGTTTCATTGCTTCTCAAATAAAGCCAGCACATGTTTTGGTTAAAGTCGAGAGTCAAACTTTCAACGAAATGCGCAGTGTTGATAACTTTCCAACAAAATTGATTCTTCAAAATACTCCAGTAGAGGAATCTTTCTCCGAAGAAAACTGTTTTGAGGGGGAGACTCCTAAGGCCTCAAGACAAGGTGTTGAAAGCAGATTGGATAATTTACCAAATGAGATTCACCATGTTACATGTTGCAAAGACAATGCAGCCAACCTTTTTTGCACAATTAATCATATGGACTCGTTTATGGATAATTCTCCAGATATGCTTGCATCAAATTTGGATTATTTACCTCTTGCAAGTACTGTTACATACGAGGCCTGTAAATCTCGCAAACGGCAAATGGTTTCTTTTTCAGATGCAAAGTATAATTTGGGTGAGAAGAAAGGTCAAGAAGGATGGGGAAGCAACAACAAAATCAACAGTATGCGACTTGCAGATGACATACGTAATGAATATGCTTACTTTCCTGTTGAACATCCCCCGGTGGAAGATTTGGTGCTCCCCACAGTATTCAGTGGATGTCTAAGTCCAAAAACACACATGGCATGTGCAGATAATAACGGTTGTACTCCCCCATCGTCTATACTCAGGAATTACATAGGCGATATCAGCCCTGAAACTGTGCTAAGAAGCTTAGCAATGACCTATCAGAATGTTCCTTCTATTATAAGGAAAAGGACTCCTTGGAAGGCAACCTATCGTGACAGTCACCAAAAACCTTCCAGAGTCATCGTCTGTACTCCTGAAACGGAACGTGTTACTACTGGCCTAGATAATTTAGAACTGAATAAGGGGTTTATTTCATTCCTTCGTTAACCAAATATATAGATTTTGTTTTTGATGAGTATCAATTGTAATATTTCACATGCAGCTAAATTTTATTCAAATGCGTTTTCTTTTAAAGACCAAATATATTTTTCATTGAAATTAATTCTGTTTGAGTCAGGTACGATAAGTTCTTTATTTAATTTTTTTAATGCACTTAGAGCATCTCCAGCGGGAGTTGCTTATAAGCAACTCCCAACCACTTTAAATGGGTCCTACTGTGCCACGTCACTCATAAGCAACTCATACTATATTTTTACAATTTTTGCTCCAATGGCAATTGCTTATAAGTACTCCTACTTTTTTACAACTCATACTACACTTTTTGACAACTCACATTACATTTTATGATATTTTTATAAAATTAATTATTATAAAAAATATATAAATATAAATAATTAACAAAACAAATTACATAATTAAAAAATTAAAATAATAAAAAAAAATAAAAAATTACAATAATAAAAATTACAATTACAAAATTACAATAATAAAATAATATTAAAAATTACAATAATAAAATTATAATAATAAAAATTATAATAAAAAATTACAATAATAAAAAATTTGCAACGACTCTTTCTGTCACACGTCTCATTCTTTTTCTCCTCCGTCTGTCTTTCTCTCAAATTCTCAAAGGAACGTCTCCCTTTCTCTCTATTTGCTGAGCCACGCACGCGGGGAGGGGGTTCCGGTCGGCAGCCGCACGCGCAGGAGGAGGGGGTTCCGGTCGGCAGCCGCGCGTAGGTGGAGGGGGTCTGGTGGGAGCTGCGCGCATGGGGGAAGGAGGTCGCGCGCGGAGGGGCACGCGGAGGGGTTCTGGGTCGCACGCGGAGCGGATCTGGGTCGCACGCGGGGGGTTCTGGCGCTCGCGGTGGTTGCGGTGGTTCTGGCTGCCGTTCTGGTCACGCGGTGGTCGCCGGCTGCCGTTCTGGTCATGCGCGGAGGGTGTCGGAGGAGACGAACATGAGCTACGTTCTTTTCAATTTTTTTTTATTTTCTTAAATCTGAACCATTTTCCAGGTGGATGCATTTTAGCCAATCAGAGTTCTCTCGTCCATGCTAAGCAACGTCCCTTGTAGAAGCAACGCTGACCAATTTTTAAGCAACTCAAGTGCCACGTACTCCAATGGCAATTTCTACACCGTTGCTTAACAATAAGCAACGCACTAAGCACCTGCCGCTGCAGGTGCTCTTACATATTTAATAGTCAGTACTAAAACTTAAAACTTCTAGTTAAATTAAAACAACCTACGTCATCGGTTGATCTAAGCACTATGTGGTAAATGTTTTTTATTATTATTTTAGACATATAACCTTTGACATTTCAGACTTTGCGATCAGTTTTTTTTTTTGGGTATATAACCTTCTCAGAAACTACAAACATTTTCATGTTACATTTATGTATCAGTTAAAATTATGATACCTTTTTTCTTCCTTGCCAAGCTACAAGCTCTCTCTGGTCAGATGAGATACGTGTAGTGACACTTTGACATTCAAGTATTTAGAGTGAGGTTTTTCCGTGTGTTGGTGGAAATGTCTAAACACTCTTGCAGTTTGTCTTTCTTTCGTTTTGTTGGAAGAAAAATGAATCCAACAATGACGCAGTTGGGCCTAAACCATCGTTTTGTAGCACTTCAAATTTTACTTTGGGCATTTTTCACTGTTAAAGAATCCAAAAACGCTTTGGTCCATAAGGCTTATGGTTTAGCTGAATAATGCATACAAAAAGTTGTGGGCAGGCGGTCCACTTGTTTTTGCAAATTGCAGGAAACACGGACGAACTGGTTACGTAAGAACTGGAAAACACAAACTTTGAAAGACATAATCCATAAATCACCCAATATTTTCAAAGAACATAAAAAAATGTACTTTTAGTGGTATGAAAAAAATTCATAGAAATGAATGCAAGTGGACGTAAAACTTTTATTAATTAAAAATAAGTTAAAAGTAAGGTGGGGAATTGAGAAAAATTAGAACGTTTTGCTAATATAATTGTTTTCACCAAAAATTAGTTTTCTAAAATAGAACATACTTGCTTACATTTGAAACAAATTCATTTCAATTGAGTTTCATCCCAATTCCCAATTTATTTATTTTTTTCAACCATCTATGATATATTGTAATTATCATCAAAATAAAATTAATTACTTTATAAATGTGTAACATTTAAGAACAAACATGGTCCAACTGATTAATTTCTTCCAACATAAGATTGATTTTAATGAATTTGTCTTTAGTAATGGTGAGAATTTATTTATTTTTGGTAATGGGATTTTAATGAATTGAAATCCAATGTATTTAAAAAAAACATGTTTGAGTTATGGCCCGAATTACCTCGCTATTATAAAATTTTATGTTTAATTGATAATATACTGTATAATGTTATTATATTTTTTATTTTAAAATATATTATAAAAGGTCTATTAGTTTAAATTATATATTTTTTACTACTTTAATTCCTATTTATAAAATTCTAGAATAATTTTTTTTATAAAGATTCAATTCATAGTATTTGATTTATTAATTATTTTTATACTAAAATACTCCTTATTAAAATATGTTCTCTTAATTAATTGACATTTAATTTAATTAATTAAGAGAGATAAGTATTAATTAAAAGAGAGAAAGAAATAGTACAACAATAATTTTAAAAATAAATAAAAATAAAACAAATTTATTACCATTAATTAGATTAATTAATTTTCATAAATTAGATTATTCAAAACTAAACTATACATGTATTACGTTGACAATTTGGATTTATCAAGTCTTATCTCATCAATGTTTCAGAGCCTGATTGAATCGAGTTCAAATTTAAAAAAAAAAAATAGTCAGATTAAAAATTCGGATTTGATAAGGATAAAGATAATAACCCATCCCTTAGCGATCCTTAATATCACCTGTAAGAAGTAAGAAAAGAAGATAGATTCCTTAAGATTTTATTTTTGAACCACAAGAAATATATATTTAATAATCTAATAATCTAATATTGGTGAAAGTAATTTATTTTAGGTTTTGATTATGAAAGCTTTAATAGTGAAGAATAGATGATGTGCAGTTGTGCGAATGATGCAGAGTAAGAGAAAGAAAATGAAAATGAAAATGAAAATGAAAATGCGTAGACGATTTGAAAGGTAAGAGAAAAAAACAGAATGCAGGTGGGAATGGGAGTGCGTGATGTGGGACCCTTTGGTGATAAAGAAATGCAACACGTGTTAATCGGATAACGTTGGAGAAAATTAAAAGGGAAAGAAATAAAATAAAAAAAGAAAGAAAGGAAGGAGAAGGAAGGTTCTGGAAAGTGAAAGGAAAACAACGGTAGAAAGCCATATTCGGATGAAGCAGCGGCTGGATCACAGCTCCGCCCTTTCTTTTCTTCTAGCGCCTTCTTATGTGGGCTGGGCCCCACCTCTCTTTTTTCTTTTCTAATTTCCCTTTCATTCTCCTACCCACGGACGCCCCTTTTCTTACCTATCCATCCTCTCCATCCTTTTACTCGAAACTTCTAGAAACTCTCCATCTCAACCGCCGCTTCTCCCTTCGCCGCCTCACCCTCACCCTCACCCTCACCCTCACCCAGATCAAGGTAACCAAATAATTCTTCTTCTTCGCTTATTAATATTCTTCTCTTTCACCATATATACTTTTTTTGATACATACCTTACCTTTCTTATTTCCTACTTTTAGATGTATGTAATCTACCTGATCCAACCAAACCCACCCAATTACAACACTTAGAGCAACTAGTTTTTTCTAATGAAACTTGGAGCCGGACAAAACTGCTTAGTTACCTAGGTTCACTTCCAGATCTGATGGCGCCATTACCAGCCGAGCAAACCGGTGAATCAGCGCCCTCCGACTCCCAGAGATCCATTCCCACGCCGTTTCTCACAAAGACCTACCAGCTCGTCGACGATCCCGCCGCGGATGACCTAATTTCCTGGAACGAAGATGGCACCAGCTTCATCGTTTGGCGACCCGCCGAATTCGCACGGGATTTGCTTCCCAAGTACTTCAAGCACAACAACTTTTCTAGTTTCGTCCGTCAGCTTAACACCTATGTAAACCACCGCCAGCCCCTTTTTTTTTTCTTCCTCTTTTTTTCAGCGCAGAAAACGGATTACCGATGTGCGTTTTCTCATGTGCAGGGATTTCGGAAGGTTGTCCCTGACCGTTGGGAATTCGCTAACGACTGCTTCCGGCGAGGCGAGAGAGGTCTTCTCCGCGACATACAGCGCCGGAAAATATTGCCGGCACCGGCGGCGGCAGCAGTAACCACAGCGAACGCGGTAACGGTGGCGGTGGCGGCACCGGCGGTGAGAACGGTGTCCCCGACGACTTCCGGCGACGAACAGGTACTGTCCTCGAACTCATCTCCGATTGGTGGGAGTGGGAATAATAATAATACAGTGCACCGCACCACGAGTTGCACCACTGCGCCCGAGCTGTTAGAAGAGAATGAAAGGCTTAGGAAAGAGAACATGCAACTGAGTCACGAGTTGGGTCAATTGAAGGGCTTGTGTAATAACATACTCTCTTTGATGACCAATTATGCTTCTGGTTTTAGCCGCCAGCAGTTAGAATCGTCTACCAGCGCTGCCAGGACCATGCCTGTGCCGGAAGGGAAGGCGCTCGACCTTTTGCCTGCCAAGCATGTTTCCTCAGCTGAGGACGCCCTGCATGTTGCTGCCGCCGCGCCCTTTGCCACGCCGAATGCTGAGGTTCCCAAGCTCTTTGGGGTTTCCATTGGCCTCAAACGCTGTAGGACAGAGTGCGATAATGAACCCGAGGGAGAAGGACAGAATCAAACGCAAACGCACACGCACACGCGACTACAAACACAATCACAATCACAATCGTCGCAAGAACCTGATGGCGGTTCAGATGTGAAATCTGAACCGCTTGATGGCGATGACTCGGATGATCAGGATCCACGTTGGCTTGAGCTTGGGAAATAATGTTCCTCCTTGATACAGACTCATTGGGTGAAATAACAAAAGGCACGTGACTCGGTATGCATTGCATTGCATTGCACATTCCACTAACGCTGCACACTGCTCACCTAGTAGCGCTGCATCACGTCACTCTGAAGAACTGTGCTTAACCATCCTAAATATTGTTCATACCTGTTCTTGAAAACAATCAACACGTCAAAATGTGGAGTAACTGAAGAAGGAAAATGCATTCCCTTTAAAATATTCACGTCTCCTTTTTCTGCAAGGAACATTTGTATCTGCCGGATACAGCAAAATGTGTAAATATTTGTGTCCGACATCATAAAATATTTCGAATGTCATTCATGTATTGTAATGTTTCCATCATCTGAACCGAGTGTGTTCTTAAGATTCATAATTGTAACACTAGCATGTTCTTTTAATGGGATACGGTAATTTTGTTTTTAATGTTTCTTTAACTAGTGCATTTTCGTTAGAAGTCTTTCATATAATATAACTGGTATGAACATTATACGCATAAGATTTGTTAATGTCTATTTTTTACGAAGTCTAACAATTGTAAAATTCCTCCTCTTATATATTTGTAAAATTATCACATAACTTACATATGAAAGAATTTAATTAAATCTAATTTTTAGTAACTATTTGAATAAATGTATATAAATATATTTATCAAGTTACATAAATTGTCTAATATTATATATTTAAAGAGTTATTCTTTTATTGACTACATTAATTATTTTTAAATGATTTTTTTTTATATTTTAAAGTTTTTTTTATCATGTTTATTATATATCTCGATTTATTTAATAATTTTTTTAAGAAAAATAAATGTATAGTTAAAATCGAAAATCGATTTTATCCATTAGAGCGAATCAGATTTATATTTTAAATGAAACTCACTGAACGATAAATTAAGAAAATCAAAGTGATTGAATTTGATTTTTTTAAAATTTATTTTATCCAGTTATCAAGCATCCTTAATTGAAGTGCAGCCTTTTATTTATTTATTTATTTATTTCTAATTTGGCGGTAACTTTCTGGACCATATCTGAGTTTTCAATCCAATATCCAAACCCCTCACATGACTATTGGGCCGCTGATGGATTACGAGCCTCGAGACACGTAGGTGCTTTCTTTTCTATTTATTTTTCCTCACGCTTGTTTTTTTACATTTAAAAAATTAGTCTTTAAAATTGTTTTTTATAAACTTCAATAATATATATAAAAAAATTACCACGAAAAAAAGGGTGATATGAATTGAATTTCGCAGTTCAGTTAGGGTAAAGAACAAACTTGCCAGTGTCCGGTCCGCAAGCTGTCATGAATATTCACTTTAGATCGTCTTACGTCCACAACCACAATAATATGATATTCATGTATTACAAAGACGGCCCATTATTAGACAGCAAAATAAAAAGGCCCATGTAATAGACCCCAAAATAACAAGGCCCGTGTACGGATACAAAATAGTGTACATTCTTTATTTTTTTCAGAAGTCGAAATCATTCTAGGCAAAAATAGAAATGAAACAGAAAATCCCTATAAAAATTTAATCATATATTCCTTTCAATATTTTTTATTAGTAGGTGAAATTTAATAATGGATCAATTTGAATAAACTTTTAAAGAAACAATTCTAAAAAAATTAAATAAATTTATCTATAAGTTAAATAATTTATGTATAAATTATTTTGTAGAAACTCTCATTAATTTTATAAAAAAAATATTTTAAATTATACATAAGTTAATTTTAACTTGTTAAAAATTATTTTTTAAATGTTTATGAAAAAATTTATGAAACAGATTTATTATATTATTAGTAAAGAATAGACTTATGTCATTTAGTAAAATTAGTGTGAATGTTAGAAGTATATTAGTTTAACAAATCCCCTATTATTAGTCTAATGACGCACATATGTTATAGTGATATTAAATTAATATGACACTACTAAAGTAAAAAATAATTTATTGTTAAACAATACATTGATTTGGTTTTGTTTGTTCAACTTATTCTGTCCATCTCTCCGTCTGGCATGTGTCTTTGTGGTCTGCCCTACGTTGTGATCAACTTTTTATCTTTTTCGTTTTAAAACTCAAATATCATCCAATCTATTTTTTTTTTAATATCAAGTTGTAATGATGTTGTCAAGTATTTGGTCACCTGTCACATTTCCGCTTTCCTCATCATTAAGTTTTCATATAATAAACTATGAAACAAAAATTTGATTCTTTTTTTATTATCATCTTTATCTTCTTCATCCCATCTTCAACCCCTCTCTTGATTGAGATTCAACTTTGTGTAGGTATTGGTTGCTTTTGATACTTTAAACTCCAAATAGGATGCATTCAATTTAATGCATTTCTACGATTCTAGAGACAAATTAAATAAGAGCTTGGGCAAATTTCCTTGTGGTACCTGATTGACTATTTTAAACTTATCAAAAACAATATTGCTCTACACCATTTTTAAGAATTTGTAGAAATTTTAAAGACAAAAACAAATTAATTCTAAAATGATAGATTACTGAAGGACGGAAATTTTGTGTTTTAAAGCTATAATGGACAAATTCCCCTTACAATGATGATCCAGACCTTAAATTATAAGAATTTGTCCTAAAATTTGAGCTAGCCCCTGGAAACTTTTTAAAGTCAAATTCTGCCACTGAGTATCTGATATTGATTAACTGAACATGAATTTTCAAGGAAAACTGCTGTGCATGGAAAATTCGTGTAAGCATCAACATGCTTCCAAATGCACGATTTTCATGCGCTGACAAAGACTCCGCCAAACACTACAAATTACTATACTTTTGTATGTTAATTTGGTGTTATAATTTTCAAGCTTTGTGGATTATTGAAATTTATATTATCACATTATAAAAGTAAAATAATTCTACACCATTACTCACTAAAGGTAGTTCACATAAAAATAAATAAATTATTATTTTGAATTTTATGTAAAAAAAAAAACATAATTAAAAAGATAAATTTTACTAAAGAAAGTGAACCGAATTATTTTATAGAGATTAATCATCAACAAATATGATAAATATTTCATATAAATAATATAATTAAATAATAAGAATAATAAGAATAATAATTCTACACCGTTACTCCGCACAATTTTCTATACATAACTACATATAAGTACTATAATTTATTTTACACATTATATAACATTCCATAGAATTAAATTTTCAGTTCCACGTTAAAATGGTTATAAATCTTAATATTACTAAATACTAATGCAAATTCTTATTGAAGCAAACAGATTGATTCTAAAATTGTTATTTTCTCATTTGAGAATTAGCCATATGACTGAGGATGAAAATAAATCAAGCTGCCAATGAAAAAAGTTTTTATGATCTCTGCTACATTAAGTTGACTTTAGGTTATAGAGTATTTTACAAAGTAAATTATGATGAGATTTTAAAAAAGTCTATTAATTTAGTTGCAAAAGTCTGACTTTAGGTCAATAACATGTTAAGCTTGATAGGTCCATTTATTTTAATAAATATAAATAATTTTTAGTAGTAGTATTATATTAAATTTTCATAATACATTAGAATTATATATTTATTTACTTAATTATATTTTAAAATATTAAATATATTGACCTATATAAATATCAAGCCTGTAAATTTATTGTGTTTCATTTAGATGTCTCGTTTCTAAATAAGTTGTCGTGAAGGTTAAAGTAAACCTTTAAAATAATTTTATATCATATAAATAAGTTAATTTTGCTTCTCGTAAAACTTAACTTATTTTCACTCTTTTGGAATGCAGTGAGTGGTAGTAGTTTATTTTTCATACTTTATAATTTACTGTGCATAAAAAAATCTTATTGACTTATTAGTTGATTAGCTTATTTAGAAATAAGACAAATTTATTTTAAAACTTTAACATTAATTCATAGATTAATAGGTTAAATCAAGTTTGAATTTTAAAAGGATTAAATTAACTTAAAAATAAACTTATTATTGGTAATAAGACTTACATAAACCTAGAATCTTTTTTTTTTAAATAATAACCTATTTAATTTCATCTATTTATATTATCATGACCTAGTCATCGTTTGGATAGAAAAAGACATTCGTGAAAAATTTCAAGGTTTTTTTTTTAATGATTGCTTCTCTTTTATTATTATTTTTTGAAAGACTATGTGCAACATATATGTTAAATATTTTTTTAAAATTAATATTTATATAAATATTATTGAATATATAACATATTATAATTAAAATTGGTATTAAATAAATATTTTGAACACTCAAATTATATTTTAAAATTTAAAGATGAAAGAGAAGGAGAAAATAGAGGAAGAAAAAAAAATATAGTGCAAAAAGATGCACTAATTAATAAATGTATGGATGACATGAACCTGCCGGTGAATAAAAGTAGTGTATCACAAACTACATGTCAAAGTTATTTACTGTGTTATTCATCTATTATTATTATTGGGAGGAGGATTCTTACTTTTGTATGTTCGTTTAAAAAAATAAAAATAAAATTTATACTATTAAAAAAAATCTCATTACATATTTTTTTTAGATAATTTTATTCTTATAACAACCTTTCATATTAATCTTTCTTTCTCCATATATTATTTTTCAAAATAACCTTCACAAGTTACAATTATATTTACTCAAAAATTTATTATGAACTGCTCAATTTTTCTTTTTATAAAAATACACAAATATACAAAGTATTTTTTTAAACTAATAAAAATAATAGAAGTTATATAATACTAAGTGATTTGTAATTAGAGAATTAGTTATAAGAAAAAGTGATCCCAGAAAGATAAATGATAAAATAAAAAATAAAAAAAGGAGAGGGAGAGAATAATTATACAAAGACTTTTTAAAAGTTTTATAAAATTGTATTGATAGCTCCTATTTTTTTTCAATGTTTATAATAATAAGAGAGTCACTTTATAATATTTTTAAATAATTAAGATAGATTATATATTATTAGTGTAATATTTTTAAAATAATTAAGAGAAGTAATATAAAAGTAGAGAAAAATAGAAAATATTGATGTAATTTGATGAAATTTTAGAAGGCATTTGTGTAAAGTTACAAAATTCAGTATGTTTGTATGAGGGCATAGATAGTATAAATTAAAAGTTAAACTCTTATAGGGCTGTAACTCTAAGTTGTAAGGGAAGCACTAAAGAAAATGAGAAAACTAAAGAGACTTTAGTTATGTTGACCTGTGAAAGCGGGAAATGAAAAATTCCATAAGAAGTCTATCTAGGACTGATTTAAGAGTGAGTGAGGTTTAAATTCCAGCGGTGGCAGCCACGAAATTGCCCTGAAACAGTTTAACTAAATACTGTAAGTAACAGACAAAATAAGAAAACTGTGTTCTGAAGCTCATGGTGTAGCATGACAACCTTGGAAATAAGCCTTGTGTCTGCCCAAGGCCTCAACCAACGGTCCTCCTGTTTCAACCAAATCACACCCTTCATCACACTCACCAAGCTCCCAGCACAAGCGGTCTACCACCACGAGGGAGGGGGAACAGGGGACCACGTCTTCCGCGTCCCACTCGATCCCACCTTCTTTTCCGACACGTACTCGCGCCTACACCTCCAGCTCTTCAACAAACGCCGCTTCGTGGGGCCCACGCAGCTTGGCTCCTGTCTGATTCCGCCCTCCGACATTGCTCTCCTCCCCTATGATTCCCTACGCTACCTCAGTTACCGGCTACGGGCAAGAGACGGTTCCAGGAGCCACGTCATCGTCAACCTTTCCATCTGCCTCCGGGGATCACCGGATCTCCACACCTGTCAACCTGTTATTGGGATACCCGTCACGGCGGTTCGGAAATTTGGCACCGGCGGTAGCAGCAGTGCAAGTGGCACGGAATTTGAATAAATTAATGAAAAATGTGAAACACAAGTTGGAATGTGGGACCACATCAAGCTATCCATCCAACTGGGGACTCTGGAATTTGGAAAGCTCTCACACTCTCCTGTCGCTTAATCCCTCATATCTGTCCCCTTTCTTTTAGCTTTCCACCCATTTTAAGAAACTTTTTTTTCACAAATTTGTATCTTTTTTTTATTTTAATAGAACCTGTATTATAAGTATTTTATTGAATGTTAACTATATATTTTATTAAATAACTGAATCTTCTCTTAATAGAGTTTTAAATTCAAGTTTAATATAAAAATTTTAACATGAAGCAATATAAAAAGTGGTACATCAATGAAACACTATTTTTAACTATTAGATTTAATAATAAAATAATCAATGGCTTAGATTTGTTACTTGTAACTTGTTTGTGGAATTTTTTGCATTTTGCATATTAGTCTCTGTTTAGAGTTATTGTTTTGGCTGCCAGCGGGTGGCGAGGATGAGGAAGACGATATCGGCGAGTATGACGGCAAGGCCATCAAGGGCGAGTCAGAGGCAAGGAAGGTCGGATTTGGAGGTGGTGAAGTTTAGGGTTTAGGAAAGGCCTTGGAGAGTTGAATGCCACAGACGACGGAGAGAGGGTGGTAGCAGCATAGGAGGGAGGGGGAGGCCGATGGCATCGAGGAGAAGGAGCTCGCGCCTCCGCTACCATCGCGCGAACAAAGTCGCGCTTCCGTTGCCACCGCACAAAGGAGCTCACGCCTCCGCGTTGCCATCGTGCAAAGGAGGTCACGTCTCCGTTGCCACCTTGCGAACGAAGTCGCGCTGTCGCTGTCATCGCGCTAAGGAGGCCGTGCCTCCGCTGCCACCACTCAAAGGAGTCTGGGCCTCCATTGCCACCACCATGGAAGGAGACAACACCTCCGCTGCCACCGTGCCTCCACTGCCACCTCGCCTCCATTGTGTCTTTGCACATAATATAAGGACTATTTTACAATTTTAAACAAGTTAGAAAACATGCTATTGCAAGTCATTTTACTGCCTCATGGATGAGACATTGATTGAACTGCTTCATGTTAGAACGGTTTGTTCAATGTATACTTAAATTCTAACAATACTCTTTTCACTATTTTTAAAAGATAAAAGTTTATTAAAAGTTATAAATTTTAGTAATCATAATTTTAAATTAAGATACAAATTTATTAAATGAGAAGTGGAATTTATAAATAAATAAATAAATAAAAGGACATTTGACATTTATGTAATTTACAAGGGATGTTTTTCAAATTTATTTGAAGGTTTTTTTTTTCTTTTACATGATTCCCACAATTTTTTTAAAAATATTTCTTTTACCAAAATGTTAGATTTATCTTTCTCTTCAATTATCTTCTTTATTTGTTTATTTTTTTTCAACCAAACATAACGTAAAATATTAAAATCCCCCCCTACCAAACTCTCAATCAAAGAAATATGATTTTTAGTTGTTTACAAGATTTAAAAACTAAGATAAATAATAGATAAAAAAAATTATTCATTATCAAGAAATATTTCTCGTCAAATATAGGAGGTTGATAAACATCAAATAGGTGGATATTTCTTCTTAGTCTAATTTTTTTGCATTCACAATAGTCAAATTTTGAATGCTGACTACTTGATTAAACGACGTAAATCTTTTATAATTAACACTAACCCAAATTAGTAATAATAAAAAATATTTATATAGGTTTAATAATTAAAATGAATTACATCACTTAATATAAGAGTATGTTAAAATTAATTTTATAAATTTTTTGAAACATTTTTTGAAACATTTTTTTAAAAAAAGATACTAGTATAATTTAACTAAATCTCTAATAAACAATCATTTTCTTATGTTATTATTTCATAACTATATAAGGATATCTTTAAATTAAATGAATAAAAGATACCAACTTAAAAGAAAAATGACTTCATTTATGTTGAAGATCTTAAATCAGCTAGTGAGATGATCATAATGATACATATTAATGAAAAATAATCCTTACATTACAAATCAATTTTATAAAGTTAAGTTAAATTATAAATTCACTTTGTTAATATAATAACATAATTTATTTTAGCGACTATTAATGATTAACAAACTTATCTGATCACCTATTATTGAGTTGTTATTAGAGATTACATGCAAATGTTTAATCTTACAATCTTCAAACTTGATATGCTAAATCTTTTTTAGAGCGAATATATTGTAAATCTCCATGCCAACATAATATTAGTTTTATAAAATTAATTTAAAAAAAGAAAGGTATAACTTTTTTTCATTAACTCGATATCTATAAGAATAAAGTATAAATCTTCGCACACAATTCCATATTTAAAGTCAAAATCAAACTATAATTCTTAACTAAGAAACATAAGTATCAAATGAGTCAACTTAACAAATTTTGATAATAAAATTGATTTTGAATGAAGTGATTTATTTTAACTAACATTTTAAGATAAATTTTAAACAATTTATTGTAAATCTAAACACGTACTTAGTTGCAGGAATTGTCGTAAATTTTAATCTAAACGGGGCAGAATTCCAAACAAAAATACAAAAGTGGACTAATAAATCATCGCTTCTCTTAAGATAAGCAAGAAGCTCAGTTGATGAAACGATAAAATATAGTAATCGCCTTTTGTGACTATTTTTCTCTTCTCGTGGAGTAAATTTGGGTTCATTTAGCTGTTGTCTATATCAAATAATCAATAGAAATAATTGTTTGTCTCCATGCTAATGTTAAATTTAATAACATACTCTTACGTGTAAGTACTATCATCTTAATTCACGAGTGACAATAACACGTAACCGAACGACACTTATGGCCTTATGGGAACTTGAACGCGTCATGCTCCTCCTATTTTTTTTTAAATATATCAAAATTATTTTAAAATATTTTTTTAATTTTTTTAAATTTATAATAAAATATTATAAGATGGTAGATCAAAATTATAATATTAGTTTATATTTGTAAAAAATAAAAAATATATAAGACTGATATAATATACTAAATTTATAAAAAAAAATATCAATAATAAAAAATTATTTATGATGTTGAAATAAAGTGTCGGCTCCACCCCTAATCATTATCACTAAATACCAAAAATTATATGAGTGATGGGGCAATATAAATATATGGGAATCTGAAAAAAAAATGTATACTTTAAAATAAATGATTACAATTAAATAAAATAAAAATACTATATATGATAAACTTCTTGCATTGTCTCTTTATATAAATACGAAAATGACAGAAACGGCGGATACAGAGGGGAAGATGGAGACATGTGACTATTAATTCTAAAATTGGTAATAAAAGAAAGGAGTGTGAGCGTAGCAACAATGTGGAAAATTTGGTATATGAACATTTCAACAACGAAACAAAGTTTTAATAGTAAACCAATCAGTGTCTGCATTAGACGAAGAACAGTTAGGATTACAGTACACTTTTTTATGTTTCACCAGTTTAGCACTTTTATCATAAATTAAATAAATCCTGTCTTTATATATTTATTTATTAAATAAAAATAAAAATATCTTATGTAAAGTTAAGCGGTAAAGAAATATATATATATATATATATATATAGGAGTTAGATCATTATAATTATCTTAAAAAAATTTAAACAAAAGATTTATTATTTATATATTATTATTATTATTATTGATTAAGTAGAGTTTAATTTTCTGATAATGCAAATGGAGAAAAATTTTATTGAGAGACAAAACTCATTTTTTAGTAATATCCTACTTATAAAGAAAATTAGTATCCAAATATGATATCGAAATATCCTTAAAAAAACATTTCCTTAGTTCCACCGTAATCTAGAAGTTGAAATTTTTGCTACATTTACTTATATACATTACACATCACACAAGTCTCCGTCAGACTATTAGAACACTATTATATATAATATGATATGATAATAATAATCATTTTTTTTTTTGAAAAAAATCCAAATTAACTCATATCATTAACAATATGGTAAACAATACAAAGTGAAATATGCTTGCAATCATAATGACCAGCTTGTGACTCGACTAACTAAACTAAATTATGAGCAACTGAGTTAATTCGTTTAAAAATGAAATTCACCTCACAATTTTTAAAACTACTCAATAGATGCTTACAACTCCTAATTGTTGACCCGAACTTAGAAACAACCATTTTTGAACCATTAACACAGTCAACAACCCATTTACAATTTGATTAAAAAACTATGTCTTCCAGCTGTTGATCCAATATCTATATGTAAGAGCTTCATGAAGGACAAAGGGCTTCACACTTAAATGGTGAAGGGAGATAAGGAAATTTACTCGTTCTAGCTTTTAGGAAAGAGCCATCATGTTCTCGAATGCACGCTCCAATGTTGAATCCTTGATCTGAAGGGAAGAGGGAAGCATCTAGGTTACACTTTAGCATTCCCTGACATGAGGAGTCCACTGTGATATTGAGAAAGGTATGGAAATACATTGATCTTTGTTGATTGGCTGGCTTGCGACCAAACTGTTAGAGAATCCTTCGCTTTATGCAACGCTACATTGTTATCCCAATCCTTGCCTTCCCAAAGTTTCTGGTTTCTACAAGATCAGGTACTCCAAATAATCATTACCAAATCCCCTGCCTACTTGGGGTCCCAAAGTTGCAACACTACAAAAATAAAGTTTATAAGACTATCAAATTTTTATTTGTAAGTATTCACTTGAATTTTGAACGAACAAGCATCCCAACATTGTTGCACAACACTACAATCTGAAAATAGATGCCCTGCATTCTCGAGTGTTTTTCACAAAGGACACACAAGCTAGAGTAGTTCACTCATCTACGCTGAAGGTTAATTCTTGTGGGGAGCACATCTCTACAAACCCGTCAAAGGAATGACTTAACCTTTGCAGGCACTTAGAGATTCCAGATTTTATTCTAGGAGCCATCCACTTTAATATGATTTGAATTACCATTTGATTCATGTAACTATTATAAGCAGATCAAACCAAGAATCTACCATCCTTACTCTAATGCCAAACACACTGGTCTTCATGATTTATGTTTGAAAGAGGAATGCTAAGAATAACCTTCCTATCCTCTAGCTTAAATAGAGCATTGATCAACTCAGTGTTCCAACAGTTTGATTCCTTAATTATAAGATCACTCACTCTGAGATTATGTACCCTTTCACTGACTCTCGTTTTAACCACACAACTGTCCTCAAAGTTCCTTAACTAGGGATCATTCCCAACACTAATATGATCCCCACTACCCGCCTTTCATCAATGACCTTCCTTCACCTAGGTTTGATCAAAAATTTCTCAATTCGCTCGAACCTGTGAAATCCGAAAGTAAAATATAAAAAAAAAATCGCATGTTTAGAATTCAAGTTACGGATTTGAATGGTTTTAAAAAAGTGATAAATGCGGTTAAATGTGGTCGGCTTTGGGTTAAAAAAATAAAACTGTTGATATCCGAAATCGACCGCTCTCTTCTCCTCAATTTTATTTTTCGCTTCTTCTTCTTTGTCGCTTTGTTGTTTCTTCTTCTCCGTTGTTCTACTTCTTCTTATTCATTATTGGGTAAGTCCTTCTTTCTCTTCTCAGTTTTCTTTTTCTCTTCTTCTCTCTATCACTTCTTCTTTTTCGTCGCTCCATTGCTTCTTCTCCACAATTGGGTTGGTCTTTCTTTCTCTTATTCTTAGTTTTCTTTTTCTCTCCACTCCTTCTTTTACGTTGTTGAGTATTCTGTTTTGCGCCTTCACTACTGCTCCATCCCACACCTCCACTCCCTCACTCCGCCCCACCTTGACTGATGAACCTTTTATGCAAACCGAAATACCCGCCCGCCAAATCTGATCAATCCAAGGGCCCCCACCCGACTGTCCTGGTGTAATGATCGGTCAACTATGGATAGAAGAAAAACGTAAGGACAACTCTCTAGATCCTTGCATATATTCTAGGGTAGGAAGTAAATATTTATTGTTTAAGAGGTGATGACTTGTAATACTGATTTAATTAGGACATCTCTACCTGTTGTCAAGGTTGAATATTGTTCCGATATATTTAAAAAGTTTCACATTACTTAAGAATTGAGATTAAGGATAGTTTATAAATATCCTCCCTTCTTAACCAATCGAGACGTCTATTCAAGAACAAAATCGTGATGATCCAACGAGTGACAAAGCGAACAATACTTCGAATACGATGACTCTAATGATAACTGTGGACTTATGGTTGGAACATTAACACTAAAAAGATTAACCTCGACTAGGAAATTTGTTTCGATATGTTTAAAAAATCTCAATCATTTAGTAATCAAGACTAAAAATAGTTTATAAATATCTCCCCTCCTTAATTTACCCACACATCTTTTTAAGGATAAAATCATAACTGTTCAACTAGCGTCAAAGATAGTGACCTTAATAATGACAGCAGACTTATAATCGAAACACTCACTATTCCAAGATTGAATTCTTCTCCATATATGATCTCTAATATAACTAAAAACCTCCTTTTTATTCCTGTTGATCAGCGTAGGGAGACCGAGTTAATTCCCTGTATTCTCTCTTTCTTCAACCCTAACAATCTCCTGATAAACACTCTATGGCTGTTAGACGTGTTCCTACTATAAAACATTCCTATTTTGTCCAGGATGACAACTTGACTAGATGCCACCTCGTACACCTTCAATATTTTGGAAACAACATTTGTTTCTCTACCAGTAGCCCAACCCGAAAGAAGATGAGGCAGTCATCCGCAAACATCAAGTGTGTAATTTTAAAATCTTCATATAAATCTTTCTATTTTAAAAACAAATAATTAAATGTTTTTAAAATTTTTAAAACATTATATATATTTATTTTTATTTAATAATTTCTTCATAAAAAATTTAAAAAAATACAAGATATAATATTACCCTTTTCAAAAAAATTATCCACCCAAGTACCAAACGACTGCCAAATGTCTTTTTAGAAAAAGTTAGATATTTCCATTTTATTTCCCTCTTTCTCATTTATTTTCTCTCTTGATACACTCAAATAGGGTACAATTCATCAAGTGAAACACATGGAAGAGTTAGACTCGAAGTTTCATAACATATACTCCCTTTGCTTTTTTTTTTTTTTAACATTTAAGGTTTATGTACAACAATTAAAAAAATTGATTAATATTTTAATTTTTTAGAGTATTTATTACTTATTTTCCTGTTATACCTTTTAGGTGGTTAATGAAGAAATAGATATATTAAAAATAAATAAACACATCGTTCAATAAATATACATTAATTATCAAGAGTAAAAATAAAAAAGAAAATTAATAAGTCATTGATTTTAAAAAAGTGACAATAAAAAAATAACAAAAAATAGTGTCAAAACGACTATAAAAAAAACAGAGAAAGTACTAAAACATGACAAACCATTCTAGTGGCTTAGACGAGACATCATGACTATATACAATAATAATGATGATGATAATAATGATAATAATAATAATAATAATGATCATGATAATGATGATGATGATGATGATAATAATGATAATAATAATAATAATGATAATGATAATAAAGACAATGATAAAATACATTAAAAAAAAAAAAAAAAATGACAACCAAATTGCCTATAATAATAATGATAATGATAATAAAGACAATGATAAAATACATTAAAAAAAAAAAAAAAAAATGACAACCAAATTGCCTCTTCAGATAAATATAGCCGGTATGCACTGAACAACACAACACTGATATACACAACCAGTTACAAGATACAATAACTACAAATAATCAAAACAGCTATCACTACACGATAACAGCACACAGCAACAGCAGCAACGGTATGAGCCTGTGTATCAAAGTATATTAACATGTTGTGCCTATTATACTGTGAATCAAAAGTATGCAGATTCCTCAACATGGAAGCTAAAAACCTTCCTCACACCTTCTACACTTCCTCTTGACTGAGGTTGCTACTTTTTAAGATGTTATACTTGCAGAGGGGGCATGTAGCATTAATATACAGCCATTTATCCACACAGGCACAGTGAAAATGGTGACCACAAGGAAGTTCTCTTAGCTCAACCCCATTGTCATAAGAAGAAAGGCAGATGCAACATTCCTACAGTATACCACCCAAAAGAAGAAAAAAAATCAGATTTGCAGAGTGACTGAGGATGTGGCCATTATTGTAAAGCCACTGAGTTACTATATCAAAGTTATCTAGCACGCTTCCAAACTATTATGTCAATTTCCTCCTGTCTCTCATGTGATGGTAAAATAACTCCGTACAGGCCAAGCACACACACAAACAAAATATTTACAAATCGCATCCTTCAGTGTAAGAATGTGTTCAGTAGGTTCAATTTGTATGCTACTGATGTGGAAGGTTCATAATAGCTACATATCAAAATTCAAAACTGTGATAGTTAACACCAAAAACAGTGTGCAACAACGTCTCTATTTGAAACATGGGTTTCTTCTTGAAACATAGTGAAATAATATCAAATAAGAGACAGAACAAAAAGACCACCAGAAAAGGGAGAAAAAAAAAAAGTAAAGCCCAAACAATACAAAAAAAAAATTATGACATACCGCATCCTCCTCAGCAAGAACATGTTCAATAGGTGAATCAGCCTGGCATTCAGTCATTATTCCTCCTACAGGTCCTTGTATAGTACCATTAAGCTTCTCATTACTTTCAATTCTTCGGAATTTAAATTTTGACAACTGTTCAATGTCCTCCTTCGATGCCCCTTCCTGCTTTTATAGACAGACACGGATAATTAATAAATAACGATAAAAATCCCCCAATAGTCCTAGGCTACACAACATTGTCACCATTACTAGTAAAAAACAAACTCATTCAGATATACACTTCATTTATGCTGGCATCAACCAACTTGTAGCCAACAAGATTGAATTCATCATGTCCATAATTAGTATAAATTGAAAATCAACTAGGAAGTCATAGAAAATCAAGTTAAATGGCAAAGTTTGTAAGAGAACTGGATCAGAATACAGAAAGAAAACGGACTGTTCATTGACAGAACTACCGAGGCCTCTATCTCTGGGTCTCCATCAATGGGATATACCATATGAGACAAGGAAATGAAGATACAATGATAGTGCAGAATAACAATTGCATTAAGAACCGCCTCCTATTCTAGGTATTTGGTAAATACGAACTTTCCTCTAACTTGCTCTCTCGATTTATCAAGAACTGTCCTAACTATCCATTTCCCTTTTTTATTTCTAATTATATATGTGAATAGTTTTGAACTCCTTTTTCTAATTACATGTGGTCCCTAACAATGCCCATTCCCCTCTCCCCTTCCCCCAAAGTTTCTCCTTGTCCTCAAGGTAGTGTCCTCAATATGAAATTCAGCAGCCTACCCCATCCAAGCAGCCACCATCTACCACTCCTAAATCTTCCTCCAGTGACAATACTGCAAATTCCTCATTCTGGCACACGTGGTCCAGGCTATACTTTATATGACACCTAGAACACAGCCCTTTTATATCTTTTGTAATTTTACATCAGAAAATCTTTCCAACACTCCTCTCTGGCTTCTCAAATTAGGTCTTGGTTGCAAAATCCATCCTAGGCCAGAAAAATTCCAACTTACAATAATTGGATTTTGTCTTCAAATCCCATCTCTCTAACTTACAGTAAGATATTAATGTTATAAGTTGCCTCACATTCAACACTTTAAAATATAAAATATACAAGTTTATAAACAGTCTCCGAGGTTTTCCCCTGTGCAGAAAAATAGAGGACCAAGAGAGAGCACCCCAATATCAGGAGCATGTGTGTCATATCCATTATGTTTTTGTTATACTGTAAGAATGAGTCATGCTCAGCATGTTAGAACGATAGTACAGTAGTAGGACAAGTCAAACTACGTAAGGAATTAAAGTGAAAAGTTTTTTATTGGAAAGTGTGACACGGTTCTCCTCCATGATTTCCAAATGCAACCCCAACACAATCTTCAAAAAAAAAAAATCTATTTATTCATTCTTCAGGGTACTGATTAGCAGGAACCTGTGCAAAATTATAATTACATGTGCTGAAATGGTTAAATTTGCAAAGTCACTTCAAATTTCAATGATCATTAATGCTTAGCAACTTCCCACCCATTTTTACACAGAATATAGTGCTTTCAATTGGAGTTTTTGATACACTAGATTCACATAGCTTTAAAGACTTCAAAACAAAACCAGGTAATGACCAATCAAACAGGACTTACCTGGTCTGCAACTGCATAAAGAAGTGCAATGATGCATGGAAGGCAACAACAAACAGCAATACCAATGATACACGCCAGTGCAACACAGAAAACGACAAAGAAAACATCAAAACCAAGGAAGATTATACATAGCCTGCAAATCATGTACAATTTGTCAGGAGTATTGAACTAAATAAGAAAATATCAGCAGATTTGCAAAAGATGAGTAAATTACAAGTGAAACGTTTAATAAATAATAATAGGCATATGAAAAATTTGAATAAGAGAGACTGATAGGACAAACCAGTAGAGCTGAGGAGACTCTTGGGCTAATGCTTGACCACCAGCAGATACCCAGTAGAATCCAATAATCCACCAAACAAATGAAAACATAGTATTGGCTGATTCCAAATGCTTTGCAACACTGCTGGTACAAAAGGACAAACATAAAAAATAAAAAAATTTAAAAATGGATAACATGATGCAAAATGTATGACAAAAATTGTTCTTGTCTTTCATCAATAATAAGAAGCTAATAAATATTGAACATATCATTTCAACCCTGAACCCACACTTTTTTATATGCAGAAAACTAGAAAGCACCTCATTCATTGAAGTTCAAAAGGTTAATTTAAAGTAAAAATAATGTAATAAAAATGGCAAACTAATCTTTAACAAATGACTTACATCACCTTTTTGGCAATGAAATCAAGGGAATAGTGCACTTGCTCAGTTGCACCATACTATCTTGTATTGACAGTAAGAGTATATTTGATGATGGAAGTAAGATTATAGTATGACCTATTTTCAAATTAAACATAATTGCAACTTACTGGGAATCTTAAATTTATGTTTGGGACAAATGGAAAATTGGTCCACCAAATAAGAATTTTATTCCCACATTGGAAATATGGAATTCTAGTGTGAGGTTTATAAGGCCTTGGGTTCTTCAACTACAATGGCTAGCTTTTGTGGTGTAACTCTCCCAAGTTTTTTTATTATTTGGTAACAAAGCCTTTCACCATATCTCTCAGTTGGACACAAGCTGCACTGAGGCTGCAAAGTGTGGTGGGAAATTAGGCAATCCAATGCACAAGTTTTAGAAATGATAAAATGAATTAGGCAAAAACCTAGCTCAAAAGGGGAAGATTGCCCAAGTCACATAAATGCACTTTGGCCATTCACAGCTGAAGTGAGATCTTTACAATGAAGCTCCCCTCTAATGGGGTCTCTAGGGAACATTGAATCCATAACATCCAAGTGAAGAGGCAACAGCCTTATCATTGTGCCAAGGCTCTCCATCACATGCAAGCACATGATACTTAAAATTAAGAAGCCTATTTCCTAATTTCATGGCAGAAATCCGAAATACACTTAGTCCCATCCCTTATGGTTCAAAAATGGTTATTTTTGGTGTACATGATCTTAACACATACACTCATGCTTTGAGAATTGAATAAAAGAACTCCTTGAACAGGAAAGTAAACTAGATAACATGGCAATCTCTATCACCATGAAAGTTGCATTATCTGCTCCTTTCAATCACACTCATTAATCCGGTTGAAGAGACTTGGCAGCTCTTCAAATTTAACAAGCTTTGGACAAGTATAAAAACCAAAACCTTTACTGTGTATCCCTCGACTAACTAAAAGCCTACGGTTGATACATAGCCACTTAATCTGGTGTAATCATTCACAGAAACACACAGCAAATTTCGTTTGCGTAACAATGTACCAGGTAAACAAAAAAAGTGAAGAAACAAACTCACCTAGTACCCTCCTCATCGAATTGCCCCAACGACACATACTGCGCAGAGCCAGAAGCAGAACCCTCCCTGGAAGACACACTCAAATTCCCACTGCTGTCACCAACCCTGTCTTGCGCTGACACAGAGTTCAACGACGCAGCACGTTGGTGCCTCCTCCTTCTCCTATACTCGACGCAAACGCAAACCATGTGGAGGAAGCATTGCAAAGCGTACCCCACAATCCACAGCCTCAGAGGCATTCCCGGAGCTTCGCTCACGCTCAGCACCAACACGGTCCCCGCCACGATAACGAACGCCAAGTTCCAAACGATGTCGAGAACAACCACCGGCTTCGAATACGCCCAATCGCCCTGCCGCTCCTCCAGTTGCTCTGCCGCCGCCTCCCGGACCAGCATCGACGGCTCGCGCATCATGCGGCGCCCGCTGGCCTGCTGGAGGAACCGCACCGCCTGCCGGAGCCGCTGGCGCCGTGCGAATCGGCGGCCGGAGGTGAGGTCGTCGGTGGAGCCGCCGGAATTGGCGAGCAGCGGCGTGGAATCAACTATGTCCTCGGAGGAACGGGTGGTGGCCATGGTGGGTGAGATTGGAAAGCCGAATCGGAAAGCGTGACTCGCTGAGTCCACTATTGACTCGGTTCAGAACATGGGAAAGGAATATTGTTGTTGTAGAGGCGAAGAGATACCTTACCTTACCTTACCTTAGCTCTATCTGAAAATGCTATGGGAATTGAAAATTAAAAAATAAAAATAAAAATGTTTTTTTTCTTCTTTTTTTTCTTACGAGTGGGGGTGAGAATTGAGATTCAGAGTTCCTTTCATCCGGTGCCCTTTGTCCAGTTCGCGCGTTCGGATTAACCCGAGAGGATTTCAACTTTAGTAACCATAAACAACATTAGATAACACATGTTAGCTATCATTTTTCTTACATTTACTTTTTAACTACTTTTAGATTTAAAATTAACTATTTATAAATTTATTTTTAATTATTCATAAATTATTTTTAAATATAAAAATTTAATTCATAACAATTGGTATATTATCGTTTTCTCTCTCTTTTATTGCTAAATGTAATAAAATGTTGTAACAATCGATATACCAATATCATTTTCTCTGTCTTACAATAACCGCAGTTTCAGGTTTTTATATACATGTTAAAGACAGTAATAAATATTTTACTTTTTATATAATTTTATTAAAATAACCTACTCTCTCAATAAATATATTTTTTAATTGTGATAATCTAATAATTTATAATATAAATTAGAATAAAGTTAACTAATATTACTTTAAAATATAAGAATATCATTCCTTTTAAAATATTTTTTAAAAGTTAAAACTACAATTATTATGAGAAAGAAATAATATTTTTTAATTTAATAATAAAATTTACTGAAATTTATAAATTTTAATCAATATTATAAAAAATATTAACAAGTTCAATAGCATTTCCCTATATTTAAATTAAAATACTATTTTTAGGATTATTATTTAACAAAGAGCATTTTCTTGACTTAATTTTTATTAGAAGCATTTTTAGAAAATTTTTCAATTTCACATTTTTTTTTTACTTTATCTTTTTATTTTACGTTCTGGATTAAATCTTAATGTTTATAAAAATATCAATAATTAAAAATAACAATGTATTAAAATATAAATTATTTCTTATAAATTTAAAAATACTTATTGTTTATAATATAACTAATAAATTAAAAATATTTTTATTATAAATTATAGTTATATTAATAAATATTTATTTATATATTGTATAAATTAAAATACTATCTATTAAAAATATTAAAATACTAATTTTAATATACAAGTGTCATTTTCCTTAAATTTTGGATAACATAGTGCATGTTTGAAAAATCATTTAGAAGTGTAAACGAACATTTTCTCTTCCCAATGCACTAAAATAAAAAATAACAATTTATTACTTTTCAATTGAAAAGACTTTTGCAAGATTTCATCAATAAACCAAATATACTCATAATATATATTTGGATACCAATTTAAAATTTATCGGTATAACTTTTTTCAAACTCAATTAAGTTCAACTTAACCGATTTTCAAACAAATCCCAATCCAAACTCGCAAACAAAGTTTTTAATTACATTGAAAAATTAGGGGAAGAAATTGATATGTGGAGACCACTTATTGTCATTGTAATTTTGTTCTTTCAATTTTCTCCTTATTTATAATTGGGTTATATCATCTTAATTTAATTAATATTTAATAAAATTTACTTATGTAATAAAATAAGAATGATATGTGTATTAGTTTAAATATATATATAAGATTTAAAGTAAATAATTTAAAAATATATTTAAATATATTTTTAATTTCTTAAGTTTAGGGTAATTTATTTTTAGTCTCTCAAATTTAAAATGATTATTTTTAATCCTGATAACTTTTAAAAATATTATTTTAACCTTTCAAGTTATTAATAACATATTTAAAAGCGACAAATTGAGACACTAATAAATTAATTTATACGACAGTATATGATAAATTTTTTAACAAAATATTAATATAAAGATTAAAATAATATTTTTTAAAATTACAAGATCAAAAATATCAATTTTTTATTTTAAAAATTAAAAATAAATTTACTTTAATTAATTTGAAGGACTAAAATCATATTTAAGTTTTTTAAAAATTATTTTATTAATATTAAATTAAATTTTTATATCATAAATATTTGTGAGTAAATCATTATTTTTATGACAAAAAAGAAATAGAATAAAGGGATTTTTTCTCAAACTAATGACTTAAATATTAAATAAAATTAGGATTAAAAGACTTGATTAGAATTTGTAAATGAGAGAAAATTTGAAAAACTCAGGTAACACAATTCGAACATGAATGACTAAAATTGCTCGATCACAATAGCTAAAAGACTAACAAAGCAATTAAATATTAATGCTTTTTATTTTCAATAAAATTGAAAAAACGGAGAAAAATTATTTATATAAATGTATATTCTTGGGGGAAAAAAGTTTACGATTTGTCTATTTAAATTTGAAGTAGTCTTTTAGCCAAACCGTAAAATATTTTTAATTTTTTTATTTCGGCATTTTGGCACGTTGGAAAGGAAAAAATTGTGAGAGTGGATTTTTTTTTCTTTTTTGCAATTAAAGTAATTTTACTTTTATTAGTGACTGGTAGAAAGATTACGGTTAGGGTTAATGAATTGAATTGAATAGGTGCAGATTGACTGTAGATTGATGTGTTTCACGAAGTACAAACTAGATTTTGCCCGATAAAGGATTACAGGAGAGATACTCTTCATAGCTACTTGTTTGTATGAATAGATTCTTAAACATTAGTGTCGTGTTGACGAGAACAATTATTGGATTTCTTTGCAACTACTGGTTAACGACCACAAAGATTACCACTTGATGTTTCCTAATTACTTTAGTACCATTGTTTTAGAATCTAATAATTGACTTTAAACGATGATTGTCATTTTAAAGTTTGATTAATTCACTTGATTTCTTCTAAAATCGGAGTGGAATATTATGCATTTTCTTTTTTACTTGTTGATTTTATTTAGAATATATATGTTGTTGTATAAATTTATTGTTTAATTATTGAAAAATTCGAAGAATTTAAAGATTTTCAAGAATTTTAATTGTTTTGGATGAATAGAGATCAAGTTGTACATATAAGAATAAGTGTGTGTTTTTGTTTTACTCTATTTTCAAATTTTAAAGTCACGTGAACATAATTTTCCTTTTTTATAGCTTTGTTGTTGAACAAAACTAGACCATGATATAAACATGCTCTAATTCATATAAGGTATTTTTTAAAACTTAAGCTTTATAAGTTCATTCTTAAAAAAAATTAGAGAAATAATTTAGATAGAAGTCCTATTGAATATGATGGTTCTTTCTCTCTCTTTTGACTTCCTTAAGTGTTCAAATTCATGACAGGGATAGGTTAGAAGAGGTTGAGTTGAAAGTCATGCTAGATTGGTAGTGTAATTCAGTGTTGTCTTTTTGTAATTAGTTGGTAATGTTATTTGACCAATAACCTAGGTTATATTTTCAATTTTTGGATTACTCTTTGTACATATATGGAGACAAGATGTACTGTAGTTCTTTTAAGGAACATTTACACTTTCAATTGATTTTACTCTTATACATATATTATTGCATATATTTTTTAGAAATTATTTGCATATTAATCTTAGGTAGTTGTATAATATTTTTCATTATAACTAGTTAAATCGTAAAATGTAATTACCTGATAGATTATTACATGTGGAGAGAATTAATTTTGATATAAATTAGTTTAAATCTTTTGATATAATTAAGAAATGTCTACTTTAATTAATTTTAGTTATAGATTTTAATTAAAACACGTGATAGAAAAAATATAAAAGGATGGTTAAGTGTAAAATAGCCCCCAAGATTTTTTTTTTGCAATTTTAAATTTCATTTTCACATTCATTCCATTATAGTACTTTTTATATATTCAAGGAATATTACGTATTTTATAATTAGTACATGGAATAAAATTTCATATATTATAACATGAGTTAGAATGTAGAATTTGTGGGGAAAATGGTTTTTTTATAACAATTTTTTTAGTAAAAAACTGAATTTTAACACATTGTTATCACAATTAATAGTTTAAAATCATTTTTAGTAGAACCTAAGAAAAACTAGCATGTTTCCATTGCACAAACAGAGCTTTGAGAGTTTAAAAATAAGCACGCGTGATTTTAATATATTTTGTTACCGAGTGTTGTGATGGAAAATTTTATTTTCACTCTTGATATTAATTCTTATGCTTTTTGTTTTAAATTTTATATTTATTTTGAATAAAAAATAAATTGTTTGGATGTAATATTTTAACAGTGAGTTAAAAAATTGTTTGTTTCATGGAATAGTAGCTTATGGAGCGTAAAAAAAACTATAGTTAGTGAGTTTAAATTTGTATTAGATTATGCACATTCATATAAAATACTAGATAATGTAATTTTAGATAATTCTTCACGTGTTTAGTTTTACATTGAGGAATTACTTTTGAATTTGTTTAGTCAACAACTGAAATATTATCACCAAAGCATTCAAGATCCTTTTCTCTTACTGTATGTATCTCGTAAAAAAATAAATAAATAATAATAAATAAAAAAAACTAATGCTCCCTACGCTCCGTATATACATTTATTGAAAAGCCCTCGATCTCAAGAATCTTGGAAGCAACTTCTTACCCTTTTACTGGTTCTCCACCATCGCATCATCTCGAATTCTTCGAATCATTTAGGATAAACAATAGACAAACACTAGGTCATATTACATTACAGTGACCTAGACTCCCTTATTTGTAAGTGATTATTTTGTTATGTATATAACTCTCAAGTCTCATTTTTACAACGTTCATTTCAACCATTAAATAAAGTACTTTTTTATCTTTTAGTCAGATGTTAAACCTTTATCAACAATATTGTCTAAATCTTCCTTTGCAACCTTCACTGTTGTTGCAGGGATTTGTATCTCTCCAGCAACATCTTTCTCCAGCTCTCTCTTGCCTCTCTATCTTTATCTTTTCTTTTCTTCTTTTTTTTTTTCTTTCCATTTTTAACTCCAAGATCTATTTCTTTTGTTTTCTCTTCTCTCATCTGTATGTTTCTTGTTGGAAAGACAGGAGGATCCAAGTTCTTGTTGCAATACTATCTTCTTCATCTTCATTTGCAATGTGACTTTTTATTTGTTAGTAGTTAGTGTGTATGGGTGGAACTTGGAAGACCCAACTACACGTGTCAACCCCGGTAGTTCTTTTTTTAATTAAATTGTCTCAAAATCATAATATTAGTTTAATTGTTTTTATACCTTTTTGTAAACTAGGCTTAAACAAAAACTTTAAAAGGGCAAAAATTGCCTATCATAAAAAAGATAAAAGTACAAAAAAGAAAGTCAAAAACAATAAATAAGGGGTAAAAAATTGTAATCCAAACAAACAATTGAATGTGATGTTAGTAGACTGAACAAAATTGATTCCGATAAAAAAAAATATTTGTGGTTTGTAAACTATAAAGATAAAAACAATTGAATAATTAATTTGAACATTTATTTTTAATTATGTTAAAATATTACCTTTTATTATTAATTTATTATCGTTATTGATATTATTTTAGAAGAAAAGAAATACTAGTCTATTACATTACTCTAGTAAGCCATGAAAATAACTGAGGATAAGGTGGATGACAGACAGCGAAAGGTCATGCATATGAATTAGGATGAAGAGAATACCTCGTTTGAGATAGCCAGTAAGATTTTTCGGTGAAAACTGAAAACTAATCATAATGAAATCAATGAGTATTTTATATAAATAACATAATTATCAAAAAGATATAGAAAACAAAATTATTGTGTGCTCTTATATACTAAATAAAAAATTATACCTATTTTATTCATATTTTGTTAACAGCCCAATGGACTATGAGCTCAACAGCCACAATGGGCCAAAGCCCAGTAGAATCATTTGCAAGTCCACTTGGCTGAAGGAGTTTATTTAAATTTCAAAAAAAAAAATATCCTAGTTTATAATTCAATAATTCCTATAAACCTGACCACGTAGAGTGTGCAAATATTCTGACTGTTACAAATTTGTGGCTATTTAAGCAACTAAGCTTGTATTTTGATCCTTGAGCGGACATGAAGCGAAGTTTGCCTTTTCTGAATTCTTAATACTATCTATATTAGTAGCAGTTCTCTTCTACTTTTCCTCCATTGAGTTATAGCCTAACAAATTTTGTGCTTTCTACAGTGCATCATCGCCAAGCTAAGTACTCTCCAAACACATCTCAATCTCATACAAAGTGTGTGTAGTGTAGAAACGTTAAATCGTCAAAAAAAAAAAAAAAGTGAAATATTCACTAGACAAAAGATACCTGTTACATACCAGAGTTGGGAAGAACCCACTGACAAGTCTGATTTAAACACTTGAAACGGATCATAGAATTCTAAAGGTTACACAAAAAGTACATTCAGCTTGGACAGTAAAGGTTTAGAACTAAATACAACAGGTTAGCAATATTAGATAATAGTAATAACAATACACTCAAGATAAGGTCCAGAATCCATTCTTCAAACTACGTCAGTATCTATACCCCACAGGCAAACCAAGCTTGTCCAAACGACCAGAACCAGGGTAAGCTTTGCTAGTGAAGTTTGCGTGTAATGCAGATACCTTTTCCCTTTGTGAGGCCAATTTTGGCTCAGCAAATGCATGCAGCGAGTACCTGTTAGAGGAAGTAGACCTCTCATACTGAGGCCTCTGCTTAGGAGCACTCAGAGACCTTACCTTTGCCTTTGAAGACTCGGTGTATGCCATGTAACTTGGATACTCACACTCAGAATAACCACTTAGGTAGCTTCTTGAGCCATCACTCCTTGTAGGAGTTAAGGGACCTATTTTGGGGCCACCATCTTTAGAAGAGGCAGATAAAGTTTTTGGACTATAACTATCGCCAGCATCCTCAACCCCGTTGACTTTTAGAGGGCTATAAGACTGAACTTCAAAGGAAGATTGACTTTGACCCGATTGATAAGATATTGTGGAGGTCAAACACTGATTGTGATGATCCGAAACCAAATCTTGGCTAGGGGAGTAAAAGAGGTTTCTACGTTTTGATGTCATGTGTGGTTTTACAGAATCAAGTTCTAAAATCCTGAGACTTCTTTCTTCATCCATGCTACAAGCTCTTGTCCATGATCTTCGTTGATTCCATGGTGGTTCCTCAACACGACTTTCTGATCTGTTCCCACTTTTCTCTTGGTTGCCATTGTGTATACGGGATTTGGAGCTGTTTCTCTACAATGATATTGATAGGAATGCTTGCATAAATAGACACACTAAACTTAATCATGCACTAGTTGCCTCTTGGGGGAAGGGGTGTACAGAAAATACCTTAAGTACTGATGGTGACTGATCATATTTCATGCTCTCGGATCTGATGGGGCTTTCAAATTTGTCTGGTGTTGCTGGACCCTGTGAATAGAAGACATTTCAGATTAAATAACCAAGGATCATACTAAGGGTAATTAATGTATTTGTAGCAGCATCCGTAATTTGATTGACATGTTATAAAATATGCTCTGCGTGTCATGTAATTGGTTAACTACTGCAAATGATGCTATTTCAACTGTTATTTAAAGGCAACCAAACCAAAACAAGACAAAAGTTAGCATTCTTTATCTATTTCATTTTACATACCATACCAGTACTATTCTCAATTCAAGTTGTCATTCTTCTTCTAACACTAACAGTCTATTTCAATTTATTTTAACAAAAAAACATGAAAGAAAAAGAGCGGAGAAACTAAATGAAAATGAAAATGCTTACGTAGAGGTGGGCAAGTGAAGAAGACTTTGCATTGGAATAGGGGGAGTGAAAAATTTGGGCCCGGGCAGCCCGGATTTGGGCCTGCACACGTAGGAGTGCTTGCACTCTTTGAAGCCACTCTGCTGTGCGCTTCCTTTCAATATGACCTCTCACCAATGCCTGTAGTTTCACCAATCCTTTTAACGCTCGAAGGGCTTTCCTTGCCTAACAATTTCAACATAAGATAGCAAATGTGCACAATTAATATCTGGATTTCACCATGGTTGAATTCAGAGTTACAGGCACTTAATTCAGCATTATCTGTTGAAGTATGTCTTCCTATCGAAACATTAGTCGTATTAGTAATTAATAGTGTCTCAACTAACCCAACTTTAATGTGCTGAATAAGTCCACCCAAAAGAAACGTATCTTACATTACAGGGTGGCGGTGCTCCTTACTTTATATTTGTTTCTGTCCCCACAAAACCCATAGACAAGCCAAGGATGATTCTTTTACCACAGAAAAAGTAGATGAATGTTCAAATCAGTTTCAAAAACCACCTCACAATACAGTACCCGCATAAATTCTTCTACAATTAGAATCTATACAATCCACATTTAATCTGCCAATCTATCCTTACATCAAAGTACCAGCGTTACCAGTTGTTCATAAAAGTTTCTCCCAAAATTCCTATATATATATAAACATAAAAGTAATAATGATACATGAATTTTTTTTTCATATTTTTCTCTATATTTAATTAACGGGATAAATGATGTGATAAAGAAAAATAAATAAATAAATGCACAAATTGTTGAGCAAATATCATTTACTGAATGAAGAATAGGAATGTAAGGATAAGTGTGTTCCTACTTCCTAATACTCTCGTACGTATATAAAATTCATTGGTAGTTTTTATTATAAACTCTAATTTTGTGCTTATTCTTTTTCAATGTAGCCAGTTTAAATGAAAAGAAAAAAAAAGTGAGATTTTTATAGTTACCAGTGTTGAAGTAAAGACATGCATATAACTAGAGAGTAGAGAGTAATAAAAGAAAGGAAGCACCGAAGCAGTGGTGAAGAGAGTGACATTAAATAGTGAAAATGGCAAGACAGAGGGAAAAGGAAGGTAACGCGTTAAAGGGAAAGGTGAAGATGGTGACGCTGAACGCACCTCGGTAGGCGTTAGCTAGTAGCTGTCAGCAAAAGAAAAGAGTTGTATTTAATGTTGTTTCAGAACATTCAAGGCATATTTTCTAGGCACACCACACCACCTTAGAGTTTAGAGTTTAGACCAAAAACTCACATAACAAAACAAAAGGAGATTAATTAGCCAAATCTGCATACAAGGCACTCCCTAAGTTCGCTTTCCATTTCGACTCACTCAACAAAGAAAAATAACATAAACTCACAAACTGATTAACGTTGTTGATATCAAAGAAAAAACACAAGTTCATACACTAACCAAGTAGCCTCGAAAGGCGGCTTGAATCTTAATGGCCGCGTATTCTTCTCCGGCGATGTCGGGAATGTGTTCCGAATCCGAGGAGTGGTGTTGGACGGTGGCATTACGGTCCTTCTCTCTGTAAGACTTGACGAAGCTCCAGCGCCGTTTCTCCTTGGGAGCGGTGGCTGACGGCGAGTCCGCTCTTCTGAGACCGAGAAGGCCGCGAAACCATTTCGATGCCTTACCCATTCATCAGATGAAGATGAAGCTAATTCTTTCGCTTTTGAAGAAAACTACGGAACTGGGAAGAAGAAAGAGAGAGAGTGTGTGGCTTTTGGCTTTTGGCTTTTGGTATAAGCAAACTCAAGCTGTCCGCATAATACTATTACTACGTCTCTCTCCTCTGCATTCAATTCTTTTTTCTTTGTTTCTTTCACAAAGTACACTCTTATATTTATTATACTCCATCTATTAATTATTACGCAAGACAATAAGAGGGCTCATGATCCGAGCTAAAAAGTACTTAGATCATCGTAGAGGACCCACTTGTAAATACAATCAAATAGTAATTGCCCCACGTCGATATTGCAAATTCCTAAATTCCCTCCCCTTGCATTGTCCCTTTCATTATTTTATACTTATTCTTTTCTAGTTCCTTCATAACTCATTATATACTTATGAATAATCCGTTTCATTAGTTGAATGCCAATTTGATTTAGTGTTAGTTTGGAATGTTTAATATAGTCTTAGACAAAATTAGTATGATTACTTAATAATTCACTACAATTATGTACCCGAAATAAAATAAAATTATAAATAAACCAAAAAGTAAATAAGTTACGATATACAAGTTTTTTTTTTTTTTTTACTTTTCCTCAAATTTTGAGTTACTTGTTAATCTAACATTTATAAATTTTATTATATATATTTGAAATTGTAAATAGAAAATGTCTGAAAAAAGATAATTTATAAAACAAATGTAGGAGGCTAAATTAAATAACTAATTAAGTATAAATAAGAGAGTTAACGTGTTGGGAAGAATTAATTAATATACAACATTTATATACAATTTCTGGTACATATATACGAATAGACATTTGAAATAGCGAAATACCAATGCTCCAAAGTCCAATGCAAGTGCAAAATATAAGAAGTGACAATACAAACAAGTTAAGTGATTATACCCTTGCGACCATGAAACCCATCTTAAGAAGAGATATTATGCAATTATATTTCATCAGTAGTATAGATAAATTGTGTAAATTATATACTCTGCTGAACTATCTTCATTTAATATTCTTGACAACACCTAAATAAACGTCCCCACCTTTGTCAAGCACTTTTATTCATTTTCTACTTGAGAGCAAAGTATCGTTTCATACTTTTCTTTCCATTCACCTAGCCGTCACTCAAGAATCTTGATCAATTTTTGTGGCTCAAGTATTTTTTTAAACAATTTTAAGAAACAATTTTTATTATTTTTAATTATAAACAATTACAATTTAATTCTTGCAAGTTTTCTTTCTAGTATATTTTTCTGCTAGATATTCGTTTATTTTATTTGTTCAATGTTTCTCTCAATAATAGAGGACTAAATATAAAATTCAAGACATCTAAAAAATAATATTTTAAAAATTAAACTGATTATCAAATTAGTTATTAAGACATTAAATCAGTAAGTCAAAAATTGAACTAGTAAGTCATTAATTAAATTATATAACCTAATTTTTATAAAAAAAAATATTAATATCATATATTTCATATTTATAAATTATAATAAATTCATATCATATCTTAAAAGAAACACACAAAAAAATGTAGTCAATATAATGTTGACAAAATAACTAAATTATTAGTCTATTAAAATACATAATAAAAATATTTTTAAATTAAAAATACTATATAAATTAATTAAGTCACATAAATTTTTTTAACCACATGAATTAATATATAATTTATATTAAAGATGAATTATAAATAATCATAACATATAAATTGCCTCAGTGGTTAAGTATGTCATTAAATATCCTAGAGGATGAGTAATTGAATTTTAGTGTAGCACAAATCTCTTCTTCTTTTTTTTTTTTTTTTTAAGAAAGATCCTACACAACAACAAGCAAGCAAACAAGAACGATTTCATGTTTATCCAAAGAAATTAAATAAATCTTTTGTAATATGTTTAGAAGGGATAAAAGAAAAAAGACACTTGACAAATAAAAGTATAAAACAGAAAATGATTATTAAATACAAAATACAAAACATTGATTTTATATTATATTCTATAACAGTTTCCTTTTTCAATTTCACTCTTATACTCTAATCATGTATTTTTAAAAAATATAATAAGACATAGTATAAACAAAATCTTAAATAATCGATTTGAGTTTTATAAATAGAAAAATATGATTGAAAGAAAATATTTGGCTAATAATAATCAATTAGATTTTTTATAAATATTAATTATTAAAAAATTGATAAATATTCTATACTAATAATATAATTATTTAAATTTATCTTTTAAAAAAATAAGTTTATCAATAAATTTTGGTAATTTATTTAAATACATTTTATAAATAAATTAGTACAGAACATGGTTGGCATGGGAATCACAATACCGACATTTGACGAAATTAACAACGGAGCAAGAACAACTCCTGCCGGACTCACACTACCGCAAATTCAATTCTCAAACCTGCCCAAATATTTTTCGGCATTTCCTCACCAACTTTCTTAAATAGTATTGTTTATAAAATTACGCACGATTGTTATGAAATAATTTTTCATAAATATTATTTGACATCCAAAATTAAAATAGAATGAATTGATCAGAGACATTATAAAGAATTACTTGTGTGTATGGTCGTTATGAATGTGTCATAGTGGAAGTGGAGTAGTTGGGGCTCTGTCCATGAAATGCGTTTGGAAATTGTGAATCGAAATGGTCAAATATGATGGTTAGGTAGCACTAGTCACCCTTTGTGTACCTTATATTATTAAAAGGAGAAGGTGTGTAAGACTCGGTTTTGGAATTTGGACCAATGGATTTGCAGTCAACGAAACACAGCACGAGTGTTTCTTCCGAGCCATGAAAGAAATCAAACCGACAACTAGACCCTGTTTTAGATTTGTCTGCAGCTTCAACATCACTAGACTAGATCTTGTTTTAGTGAGATCTTTTCTTTTTGGTTAGATAATGGTTACCTATTGGTTACTTAACAACATATCTGATTTTTGTTGTTTAACAGAGATTTGTTTATGTAAATTATTATTATTTTTTGGGTTGTCTAACATTTTTTTTTACGTGCATGTAAGAGAAAGATATCAGATGTTTTACTTGATATTTAAAGCACTAAAAACATATTCATGTTTTATTTATATTTATTTGTTTTTCTTTTCTTTATTTGTATTCATCATACTTTTTATTTTTTTAACAAATAAACCATAAGTATTACAAGGATGATGTATTTAATAGAGAATTCATGTTTGTTCGTCACTATGAGTGAAAATTTGTTGATTCAATCATAATTACTATATTACAAGTGAGAACAGTCTTTCATCTTATACATTTGAAAACACTTAGAACAAAAGGAAAAAAATTAATGTAACTATTGGGAATAATCGAGTTTTACTTAGGAATGCAACATAACAAAGTCTAGCAAGTATGAGCTAAAACATTAAACAAAGATTAGTTCAGTTGGTAACAAATATACTTGTCTTTTAAAGGGAATTGAGTTCAATTCTTGCCAATGTAAGAATCTTATTAATAGATATTCTATAAGTACTTTTATAGATATTCATATAGTCTTGAAGTTTATCCTTATTCTCATGAGAAGAAGCATCGTAGAGTTAATTTGTAAAGTTAATATCTAACCAAATGAATAAGTAGACAACATTATCTAAAATCTATTAACTCATGTCAATAATATCCAACTAATGCTACAAACAACACCTAATATATAAAAAAATGTTGAAATGAGAGGAAATATAAAAGTTAGAAGCCAAAATACAAATATTAAATCAAATAAACACACAAATATATCTAACAAAGTTATTTAATTGTAAATAATTCAACCACATAAAAGTAAACAAACTTTCAAAAAAATGAGTTATAGAAATTTTATAAAAATTATGTTTCACTAAACATTATTATGAGGAGTTTTGTGTATTTAAAAAATACTCTTTAAAATAAGAAGAGTCATCATTTAATTGTCTTATTTTACTATTCAACCAACATTTTTCCATTCATATTGCTAGCAAGAAGAATGCACGTTTTATAATATTTATTAGTACATATATGGTGAAGTTTTTACCCTTCTAATATAGTTTTTTAAATTAATTACATAAATGATATTGTCATATAATTATTTATATTTTTAAGACTGTTCTATACAATGTAGTTATGGATTATAGTGATTCACTAACATGTGTAATTTCTTTTTTAAGACATGAAAAATTAGTCACTGAAATTAGTCATAACTTACTTTTAGTCATTATTGATTCAAGTTAGTTATGTTTTTTTAGGATCACTATAGTTCATGATGACTATATTTAAAAGAAAGAAAAAAAAGAGTTTAACTGAAAATCATAATGACTCCTAAAAAAACAAGTAATATTATATATAAATGATAGGAAAAATTTCATATATTCATGTGTAAATTTTTCTTGAACACACATATGAGTATGTTAAATAAACATTTCACAAAATAAAAGATTATGTTAATTGACTCCAAGTTTGTAGAGAATTGAATTAGGATAAATTATAAATTTAATTTATAAAATTAAATTTTCCTTGTGAAAAATTATGTAATGCATAAAAATTACATCAATTATTTAATTTTTAAAAATCTAGATGTACAAAAATTGAATTAGATATCAATTTTATAATGTAAGGTGCTTTTTATGATGATTAATTTTTAAAATATTAGACTAATATTGGAAAACAATTTAAAAATTAAATTATCAATTTATTACATAATAAAATGATAAAATACATGCTTTGAATTTATAATAATTTTTTTTGTGAGAGTCATTATGGATTGTAATGATTATTTTGTTTTGTTATAATCTATAATTAAATTTTTAATTTTAAAAATAGTATAATTATGGATTATATCAACCAAAAAAGAGACACTACAATTTATAGTGTGTCTCAGCAGAAACCTAGCGCACCTTGGTTGGTCTGGACAAGCCACGGGACCTTCTCTTCACACTCTATGGACATTCCTAAGCCTGCGTGGTGTTCTCCATCAATCAAACCGAAATTTTTTGACCGACGTATAAAACCTCTAAGCGTGTGGTTCAGTGGTAGGGGTTGATCCACGCTTAAGCAAGGTTAGGAGTTCGAATCCTGCCTTGTATCAACGATAAATACCGAAAAAAAAATAGTAACTCTTATAAAAAAAATAAATCACTATATATAATAGTATTTAACAAGTCACTATAACCAATAATAACCTCATAAAGTCACTATTAATTGTAATGATATTAACACAATTCGACTCGTGCAAAATATAATAATAATTCACGTCACCGAAGTCGACATGAGTCATACCGAAACCACACAAAATGAGTTAAAAAACATAAATAATATATGATGGACATGCCGAATTGGAAACCTTTTTAATATTCATAGTTTCGTACAGAGAAGGAGAATCAGAGACAGGTATATGAACTGGCAGAGGTACAGGCCTGCAAGCCTATCAGTTAATAGAGTCCTATGTAGCATGAACCCAAGGTGTGCCCCAATTAAGCTTATTTATTTAACCAAAAATAAACTTATACTCGTTTATTTTTTTGACACCAGTTTTTCTTAATACTTGTTAACAACAACAAAATAACGTTTCAATATAAATATACAACTTAAATATGTATGTTAATCACATTCAACTCTTTAAGATTAGTTCCATCAAAATCAATTTTACAAAACTTTATATTAAACAGACATTAATGATGTTTAATTCAGGAAAGAAAAAGAAAGTAACATAATCTTTGAAGTTGTTACGTAGCAAAAAATAAATAGAAGAAAGATAAGTAAACATTTTTTGTTTTATCTTATTTGGTTGTGTACAAAGTAAAAAAATAATATAAATATCTTTTATAAAGGAATAAAATATTAAAAATAGAAGACAAATACCTTTTTCTTTTAATAAAACATTCATTCCTTTACCTTTCTCCCCACTTGAAGGGTGAAATTTTAATATGAACCCACCAATTCACGTGCCTTCCTTCTAAAATATAAATATATTACATGAAGTAATGCATAATTTAATAAAAAATAATACATTTTATTACATTAAATGAATAATATAATTTCAATAAATATAAAAAAGTTATATAACTGTTTCACATCGCTTAGGAATCGAATCGAGGCTAAGAGTAGTTTATAAATATCCTCCCTCCTTAACCTACCGATGTGCCTTTTAAAGGACAAAATTATGACGGTTCAACGAGTGCCAAAGCAGACAATACCTCGGATGCGGTGACCTTAACGATAACAGCAGACTTATGGTGGGATAGTTTATAAACACATTCCCTCCTTAACCCACCAAGATACCTTTTAAGGGATAAAACTGTGATAACTCAACGAGTGCCAAAGCAGATAACACCTCGGATGCGGTAACCTTAACGATGACAACAGACTTACGATAGAAACAATAACATTTTTCATTCAATATGTTTATATGCTATTGGTCTATTATCGACAAAATAACCTTAAATTAAATCTTACACATATTAAAGTTATCTTTTAGTTTTAAATAGTATTTAATATATGCATTGTATACGATAAAAATTCATTTTTATACAATAATATTTTAATTCATAAATGTATAAGTTGTATTTTAGAATTATGGTAATTGTATGCCACATTTTATTTTAGATATAAAAAGAAGACAAAATAAAAATTACATTTTCAATCTATTTATAAAAATAACATGAAATAATATTTTTTTTACTAAACTATTAATTTTTTTGGACCCTTCCAATTCTAGACCGTCGTCCATTAGGCCTAAGTCATGGAATATGGACCCAAGGCCTGGCCGGATCAATCCGAAGCAATAGAAATATTTTTAAAAAAATGTGTTTTCTTTTTCTTTCTTTGACTATTCTGCTCAGAATTATCCAATTAAAAAAGAATAAGAATTGTCATTATCAAAGATAATTCAAGGTGGAGAGAAAATAAAATAGGGAAAAGAATGATATTTCAATAGTTAATTAGATAATTAAGAGAATAAATTTTAATACATATGCACGTGTGGTAGCCGTTGATTTTTGTTGAAGGTTAAGCCTTCACGGTTCCTTTCTTTTGAGAAAAAAAAAGTATGATTGGTAGGATGAAAATAAATAAATGAAAAATAGGGTGAACAAAAATAAGAAAGAAAGAGATTGGAAAGAGATAAAGAAAGTGTAAATCAGAGTTTTGATTTAAGAGAAAAAGAAAAAAGAGAATAAAAAATAATTTAAATTTAATTTTAAATTAATTATTAAATAATTAATTAATATTTTAATTTTATTGACTAAATCAACTATAACATACCAAAAGTTACTAGTGTTACTAGTGTATGCAGCCGCGTTAAATCTTGGAGCCAACTATCCCACCCTTTGAGGTGGCTCCAACGTAGCGAGGAGATTAGTGACTGCTGTCGGCGGTGGATACTCCAGGGACGAACCAAAAAAAAAAAAAAGACAAGATTTCGATTCTTACTTTAGATGATGAAATTATGGTTGAAGATATTATTTTATTTTTATAAGAACTAACTTGAAGTAATTTTACTCCATATCAAACTAGAAAAAAATCAACAAAAAAAGAAAACACTTACTTTCTCATTTAGTCAATTAAATGAAAATTTCAATTGATTAAACAAATAATACATTCATATCTCAATGAAAATTGATATACAATCATTTAGAGATTCATTTTCAAATAATTATTTTTTATTTAGTAGGATGAAAAGTAGAAGATAAATAGAGAAAAGAGAAGGGATAAAGTGAAATTAGTTATTTGTTAAAAAAAAAAAGAGAGAGAGAGAAGTGGGAATGATTTTATTGAAACTCAAAAAAAAAAAAAAAAGTATTCCTCGCCCTGAAGCGAGGGGTAGTGCGCAATAGTCACACAAGAAATATATAATTTTTAATTGATAATTAATCGTAAAATCAACTTGGTCATATGACGCTTTTAAAAAAATTATAGCCTTGTATTCGACGAGGTGAAAAAATTAGGATTTAAAATATTTAAGAATTTAAAAAATAGAGTTCAAAAGATATTAAAGATGAGTGTATTGATCGTTAGAGAGAAAAGATTACAAAAAAAAAAAAAAAAAAAAGTAGTGGGAGAAGGACGAAGCAGCCAAAAAAAAAAATGGAAGAAAAGGAAGCCAATGGTGAAGTGAAGATATTTTTTAAAATAAAATTTATTTATAAAACTAAATTAAAATATTATTTAAAGAAACTTTTGCAAAAAAAAAAAGAAGAGGAAGAAGAAAAGAGAGGTGTATCCGTGTCTATGTTAAAAGCGGAAGAGGAGGTGTATATAACATTTATCCGAAGAATTTGAATTTGGATCCAAATCCAACAACGAAGATGGATTCTAGTTGAATGCTCGCCCCGGATATGAAATCTGTTCTGCCAGCTATTCAGCAGCCATTCCTCACAAAAGGAGCACGTCTTTCATTTCTCGCTTGTGTCCATGACTCCAAACCCAATAATTTACCAGCCTTTTATCCCTACTTTTACCTCTTTCATTTCTCTCCCTTGTGTCGTTCCAACTTCCGAAGGAAGGAATGTTTTGCTGTTTGCCACTCAATTTGTTGGCTTGTACTTCTCATAATCTGTTTTTAACTAGTATATTTTGAGAAAGCAAAACCCAAACCATATAGCTAGTTTAAGATTCTGAAATTCTTTTAATTGACACTGCTGTTACTCTGTTGACAAGGAACATCATTCTCTGTATCAGCTCTTCAAAAGATGGGCGTTGCTCTGGATCACTGCTCACATTTAACACAAGTATATTTGAGTTAGAACTTAGAAGGCAACTAAAACCAAAGTATGGTTGTTGTATAGAAGCACCTTCGCCAGCAGTCATTTATGATCGATGCAATATGGGGATCAAGCCCCTCCGGGATGTCTAGTCGTCTATCCATAAAGCCTACGACTCCAACAACCTTTCAAGTGAAACACAATGATTATAACAAAAAGACTACGGTGCTCAGGTATCTCCACGCTTAAGATGTACAATGCCGCTCAATACATATTACCTCACGTTGCTTTAATTAATCAATTATTAAACATTTACTGCATATGCTTAACTATTTAACTACGTATAGTAAAGCACAATTGTAAAGTTTGTTAATTGGTTAATCAAAGTGATGTGGGGAGTAATGCGCGTAAATCTGACATACATTATATTGTTAAGTACAAAAGTATATGAAGTGTGTAGGAAGAGACAGAGGGAAAGA